TTAAAGTCTATCTCGATGTCTGAAAATGAAATTTCTATTATTCAAATATAAAAAATATATGAGTCCCAACAAAGACCCAAGGACACCAAGCATTGCTGGCTCAATCGACTACTAGATCCGAAACCGAGACTGCAGAAACCCTCTTCGATCCTGAACAGAAACAGCAGGGTACGATCCATGGCGGACACCGAGCCTCCACAGACCCGGCTTGTGAACCAGCAAGTGCTAGGCAAACATCTGTCTGAGTGCAGCGCTTCGGCGTGCAAGCTGCGATACCTGTTGCAAGACTTGTGGGCATCCAGAGCGTGGGGGCCTGGAAGCTTTGCATTGGGGGAATTTTGGGGGAGCCCCATCTCGCCGATCACATCACCCGAGTCAGAAGGTAAGCAACATGAACACCGCGTCGATCTATGCAGAATCTACATCTTCCACGAAAATTCCTTCGCTGGGGTCTGACTGTCGCGCAAACTGCGAGGCTCCACTTCTCCCCTTCGCAGCCTTGATTGTCGAACAAACGCATGGGCTCCTTGTCGGCGTGGTCTCTCTGAGCAGGCACTCGTCGACACGCCTGTTGCAGGAGGCATCATGCAGTGCATCGTGGACAGCCGTGGTGAGCTGTTTGTCATACGTCGCTCCAGCCTCAAGGAATCTCAGAAAGTCAAGCAGAGACCCAAGTTCAGCTCCTGCCAGGTCAGCAGATCGAAAGTCATGGGGATGGTGGCGGGTGCATGATGCGCCGCATGGAAAGAGTCAAGCAAGGGCGCCTTCCACTGCCGGAAGGGATTCGTAATTGAGCAGAGCTCGACATCTTCCTGTAAAGCAGAAACAGATAACATGAAACACCGGCACGGAAAGGAGGTGAGAAGGCCTTGCCGGCGTTCGAAACCCGAAAGATGACAAACTTGCCTCCCTCCTCGTCGCGACCGAAGAGGCACCAAAGCACACGATGCTTTCATGATCGAAAACTCCCTCCTTCTGTGCAAACGTCCATTCCCTGTAGCTCATCCTGAGGCCACCCAAGCATGTGCACACAGGACTACAGGAGCAGCACGGCTTTGTGCTTCCAAGCTACTCGAAAAGCTGCTTGTCCTTGCAACATGGCTGGTTCATCCCCTGCACATCACAGCAGCCTGTGCTTCACTCATCCTTCGGTGAGCCTGCACACATTCCCACAGCAGCACGACGAGCTGGTAGCTGGAAGGAGCATCGGCCAGAATAGGAAACCCCCACAACTGCGACTCTCAACACTTTCAAAAGCTGTCCTTGGCACGCGATGTTTTCACCTCTACATAGGCCTCTACATCTCCGCTGGTGCTGTCCTGTCACATTTGACAAGTGATCCACAGTTCGGTGAAATTACGGACGGGCACGGGTATAGACCGTACAGAGACTGCAGGGGTGCTCTGTCTGAGCAGTCTGGCCTCAATTCGGAGGTCGTACTGAAAGCCGGTCTCCTACGATCCACGGCTCGAAGAGCTGCCGCCCAAAGTGACGAGGTTTTCACCGCAGTCGCCACAACAGCCTTCCGATAATTCAAACGACCGAAGTCAATCCGGTCCTCCACCTCGTTGACCCAGACCACGCGCCTTGAGGCAAAACTATGGGAAGCTGACACTCACACAAAAAGAAATCGTGACAAGTGAGATCGGCACTTTTGGCTGTCCTAGCATCCACAGCCCGAAGGCAGCATTAAGGCAGTGCCGGAGCCGCGGAGCCATATGGCGCCAGGCCAAGGCACAGAAGGTCTGCAACTCTGCTCATGGGTAACGGTCGCGACACTCCCTTCAAAGCTGCTGCACAGTCCTCATGCTCGAGCTTCTTCTGCAAGTACTCGTAGACGAACCTTGTCTGTATCTGGACCCGCCAACCTTTAACCGTCGGAAGACCTTCGTGAAGCCAAGTCTCTGTTCCCCCCAACGCCCAACCTTTTCACGCTCCTGGAAAAATGGGATTGATCAGCCCCACTCGGTCACTCGGGTTAATCTGACAAGCATAGACATACACACTACCGATGACCCATGGCCTACAGCGCTATGGGATCCCGTCGAAAAACCATTTGCGTTGCTTGAACGTCCTCCTGTGGCAAGTCATTCCGGCTCGGCAATGGCGCAAGACGCATCTTCTTCGACTGGGCCTCGCATCGACTAGGAAAGTCGAAACCACTCGAGAGATCAGCCCACTCGGTGCCCGACACGAAGATCTTCCAAATCGTACACCCGCGTTCTAAATGCTTTCTCCTTCTTTGCCTCCACGCTATGTTCCGAGACTCTTTTGTGGAAATCCGGACAAAGCTGGGAGACATTCAGATCCGCATCCCTCCTGGAACGGCTGATGTTATCTGCCCGGCCTCCGAAGACTCTTCTTCCGGAGCATTCGAGATACCTCTGGCAGCACGGTCACACGATTCTTCTTGGACGGTCTTTCATTTCAGCATGAACTATCAGAAAAAGCTGTGGACCAGCGTCGGCCTGGAAGCCGGTCCAAGATGCGCCCCAACTCCGTTGCACTGCGCTCCTGGTGCCGGAAAGCCACAAGAAAAAAACAGAATCTGGGCCAACGGCTACCCAGGCTTGGAGATCTTGTATGGGGCATGGGAGTCCTTGTCGCCCTGGCCTGGCTTGTCACCTCCCTTGCCGCTGCCCTTGCCCTTGCCCTTGCCCTTGCCTTTGCCAGCGCCCTTTCCTGGCGAGACACCGTGAAACGCTGAGTCTTGGGGGGCACCATTTTTTTGAGTTGGCACACCACGTTGTGTTGCGAAGCTCACGCCTTCGCCGTTCTCCCCAATTTGCTGGTCGATCACGCTGATGTTCTGATGAAGGAAAATGGGTGTCGCTATGCTCCCCGAACATGTAGCACTGCATAGCTGCAGGTTTGACCCTGCTTGTCAGCCTTCAACAACGCCTCTGCATCTTTCATTTCGGTCTCACTCACCTCTGCAGGAAAACGCAAAGCCGCTGCCCGATTTGAGGCCAGCGAAATTCCCACCTCTTCCAAGGCAGTGCCTGAAGCCGGGTCAGCACAACCATCCACCTGGAAATGGACAGCAACGAGGCATTTTCCAGCGGCATGCCGATTCTTGGAAGGTGTCACGACTTGACTCGGGCACGGAGCCTCCCCGTCTCTGGCTGCAGACGAGCCCGGCTCGTGCTCCTCGCTCCATCACGCGACTATCAGCTTCCTGTGCGACCGCTCTTCAGTCGTCAGCACCTCCTTTCCGAGATCCATCTCTGCCAAGCGGTCCTGTCAAGGCAGATCTCTGCTCTCACATGCCCTCAACAGAGGAGATGCATTCCCTGCCAAAACGGCCTTTGCGGCACCTTCCAAGATCGCAGCCTCCGCCATCACGGCCTGAGGAGCAAAGGCCCTGGCCCCCCAAGCTACAGAAGTGGCCCTGCACTCACGGTGGCCTCGGGCCCCTCCGTCCGTGCTCTCTTGCTCGGAGGCTCTGCAGGTGGCTCCTGATCCTGGTCTCTCAGCATCTGACAACAGTGCCGAGCCCTCACCAATACGAGGACGAGGGAAATTGCCTCATCGTCCCTTGGCGGCAAAAGCCTCTCAGGCTCGGTCTCCTGAAAGGACAAGGCGGTTTTGCGGCCTCGAAACAGTGCTGGGAGGGCCGCCAGCCTGCGCCGCCTCGAGCAGCCGGCGCTCCAGCTCGAGCTGCTCGGCGACCTGCACCGCGTCAGCACCACCACCCCAGTGTGGCTCCCATCTCTCCAAGGCTCAGCCTCCTTCGGCATCGGCCAGGGTGACGTATAGTCAGGTGAGTCCTGGGAGCAGCAGACAGCACACATCGCAAAAGCAAACTTGACTACTGAGACTAGCCGGGTGGGCTGTCTGCTGGCCATGCTGGCCTCACTGGGCAACGCCGGGATCTGCAGGGCCTCGCGAGAGACTCTGCGTGCTTCCTACCAGCTTCTGAGCAGCATTTCTACGAGAGACGACGGCCAACTTCCATGCTCTCCTGGCCTCGCAAAGCGATGATGCGCCCGATTCTCCTGCCAAGGCTGCTGAAGCCAGGAAGGTGGCTAAGGCCTGGTCGACGTGCAACTCATTGTGGACAGCGTAAGCAAAAGCTCTCTCAGGGTGCCACCTCGCGCGTCTGTCGCACCCTCGCCACCTCGTCCTTCCGTTCACACTCCATATCTTCTTTAGAGATTTAGAGAACTTGGCTCAGGAGAACCAGGGACTGAAATCCTCTTCACCGAGGTTCCTGGAAATTGGAGCGGGGAGTCAGAAGGCTTAGGTTCTGCCCCACAATTTACAGGTCGGGCCCCGCCCCACGCCCAGTTCTGTCAAAATCGAATTCGAGATCAACCGGCGGCGCATTCAATGCAGGCCGCAAGACTGATATAGCCACATGTCAATGTTTACATTGGACCTGGACACACAAGACTGAGTTTGGGAGCTCGGATTCATTGCGCTGTGGGAATGCTCCGCCCATTGCGTTCACATCGTACTGCCCCTTGCAGCCGCCAGGCAAATGTGTCGGGCTTGCACGTCCAATGCCCCAGCATCCATGATTTTGACTGGATGGCGTTTGCTCTTTCACTCCTGCTGCTTCACCTCGCTGAACGATGCATGCTCCGACCCTGCAAATCATCGCAAAGTACGTTAAGACCGATACATGTTTGCAAGTAATTTGTTCGAGACTGGAGCATTCTGTCTGGTTTGGCTCTACCTGCCGACGGCGACTCTCGCGAGGCACGGAAGGCGAACCGCCGCCTTCGAAATCATGGAAATAGCAGAAGCGGAGCATATAGCCAGAACATCCGAAGTTGCCGTTGGCTTAGAAGGGTATGAGGCACTCTTTAGGACGTCATACATGACAAGCACAGGTAGGAAGAGTTGCGACAGTCTTTCCGCTTGTGCTCAAGCTGAAGCTTCTTTCGTCAGTTATCAAGCTGAGGCTTCTTCCAAGTCGGATGCCTTTTCGGATCTTTGGATCCAGCGAAGGAGTGTCAAACAAAGTACTGCTGGGATCTGGCAGTGTCCATGGTATGCAGTGTCTTGCATGACGGTTGTTGCTGCTGTTGCAGCACGTAGCAGCCACTACTGCATTTTGTGTGATCTCTACGTGTGCGTCAGGTTGGTTCAGCACTTGCACAGGCAGAAGTTCTGCAACTGTCCCAGCCTGTTTTTGCCGCGCATTGGCAGTGCATATTCCCACAGGCTTGCTCGGGAGTGAGCTGACTGGTGGTACTCGGGGCGAGAAGCCGGGACTGAGCTCTGTTAACCCTCTTCGAGCTCATGATTATTCCGACTTCGATGCTCAGTCGGTGAGATACATGGCTTGGACGGATAGGGACAAGGAGAGACAGAGAGACAGAGCGAGAGGAGGGAGAGAGAGACGCTTGGATGAGCCTTTGCCGGGCGAGTCTCGTGCTTGGACCGGCGACGAAGCTTGTCTTCGGTGAAATCAGTCAAGTCGAGCGGTTCTGTCGATTCGCTACAACTCCCGCGATCTTCGGTCTCCTGCTTTGCTGGCTTCGCCGAAGGAAGCAGCAGCCGTGCCAACTCCACACACAGGGCAGGGAGTGTGGCTCCGCACACCATTCGGAGTCGCACTTCCTTGTGCTAGCAATCTGTCGAGTCGAATGATCGTAGCTTCCTCTTTCAGTCTTTCTTACCAGACTTCTCGCCGCCGAGACTCATAGGATGCCTCTTCCACACGCCCACCTCAACCGGGGCACCAGCGAGCATTCATAGGGGTCTTCATGTCGGCTGGCTGCAAGCAAAGGCGCTCCTGACCTGCAAGTAGCAGTCACTCTCGACCTCCGCCTGGCAAGACGACTTGCATCAAACTTCAAAGCTCGGAAGAGACTCGTTTTGGGTGGAACCACCTGGATTGGATCTTGGCCAGGCACCACGGAGAAGATGCAGCGAAGCTTCAAAGGTGGATCAACTTCCTGACGCAGTCGGAGCGTGCAGAAGGCAGTCTCTATGCAGGAACAGAAGTTAGAAACTAAGGCTATCAAGTCACACGGACAAGCAGTTTCTCCACTTTTCTGGTCAGGCATGTCGCCTGCGCGGAAAGCTGCTTCGGCAGAAGATGCAGTGTATATTCTGCTCACATGAATCCGGGAAGCATTGAAAGAATCATAGACGGCTCGGTGCTTGTGGATGAGGAAGCGCTGTGCAAGCGGCAGCAACGAGGCAACAGCTTTTGCAATCACCTCCAGTCACTCCACTGGTCACTGGAGGTCGGAGGTCCATGAACCTCCATTCTGAGATCTTGGCAGGAGCCGGTCTCTCCTCGCCACCGTAGATTGAGGTGATGGAGCACACCTACAGAGCTGCGAATCTTCATGAGCGAGGCAGAGATATTCGGTACTTCTTCGAAGCAGGCCCCGGCCGTGCTGAGGCTTTGCAGCTTCAGCGCATCGGCCAAGACCGGCCAGTGCCTCACAGCAGAGCCCAGGGCTGCTCTGCTGCTCTGCTGCTCTTGTCTTTGCTGGGCTCCGGGCTCCGCGTCTTTGGCTCCTCGGGGTGCCGGGGCCGCCAGCGGCGCCTGGGCCCTAAGCGTGGCGAGAGCCGCCTCGGGCACCCCAGCGCCCTCCACGTCGTCCTCGAGGAGGACGCCTCTGAGCTGAAGCTACGCGGCATGATGCGAGCCGCTAGGTTTTGCGCACGCAGCTTCCCGCTTGGGGTTCCTTCTGCTCAAGCCACGACGATGGTATCGATGGTATGTTCTTGGATTAGGCAGCCTATAGAAATGCCAAGCTGCATAAACCCCTACAGTACCGCCATAGACTGCCATAGACACCGAGGCACCTTCTTTCGGAGCACCCAAGCCGCCCAGCTGCAGCGGCACGCAACGACGGGTCCCAAGTGCCGCTGGCAAAGCTGCCCAAGCTGCCAAGCGTAAATCATGTCGCTGTCGGCTACAGGCAGACAAAGGAGGGAAGCCACATACTCGATGTTCAACCAGATCATTGCTGGGAAGACCAGAGCCTTCTGCGTCAGCTGACGAGGCATCTGAGAGTTCCTCCCACGAAAAGTACACATTGGGCCAGGGCTTACAGACTTACAGAGATCGTTTTCGCTGGTTGCTGAGTCGATGCGCCAAAAAGTACCTGCAACCTGCGCACTGGTCAAATCCAACAATCCCCCTTTAAAGATGTCCTTGGCCACACGGAGGAGCAGCCTCGGAAAAGATCACGTCTTGATGTGGGCTATCAGGCTTGGGACTTCTCGATGCCACATGGACGCTCGTCGAATTTTGCCAAAGGCAAGCGAACCGCCGAAAAACCGCTTCCGCTTCCCAGGGCCAAGGGACGGCCAGAGGGCAGCGCTCGGCGCAGTGCTGGCGCTCAGCTGGTCCAGGCGCCTGAGGACCTCCAAGCCCGAGCACTCTCTCTCACAAGCCGCAGTCTCTTTAAAGCAAGCGGCGGCGGTGGGCAACGTCGTGAACTTCCCAGCAATTCGCGACTGTTTCGGGTTACATGATGCGAAAGCTTTGATCTGGCCTGCTCTGCTGTGGGATGCTCGGGCACTCCCAGGCCAATGACGAAAAAACGACGCCACCGTGCCTTCATCTGCCGCCCAGCCGCCGCTAGAACAAACTCACTCGAAACTTATGGCCCTACTCTACTGCACAAAGTCGCACTCTTTTCTGAGGCAGCAGCGCTGTAGAGTTGCTGCAAAGCCGGAAGGTCGCAGTTGGCATCCTGCATGTAGCGCACAAATTCAATGCGCTCTTCCGTCAAATATCGGGTCTGTCGACATACATCCGGCTCCTCCCACACGACATCAGCAGGGACGCGGGCTGCTTCTCCAGCCGCGACTACGACGGACCTTGCTCTAACCAGGAGTTTGCATGTTGAAGGCGCTCTCTCGTTGGTCAGTCGAGTGGATCTCTCAGAGCTGGTGGCGGCATCCTCTGCAGCTCTGCCAAGTCGGCACCTTGTTACTGCGCAGGCACGCTGAGCTTCTTTGGCTGCCCAAGATGTCGCAGAGCAATGTCGCCTGCCCGCTCTAGGTACCCGTAGATTGCGGTTGCGCTGTCGGGCCCGACCGGGCTGTGCGTCGCAAAGCCACGTAGAACCTGGGCCACGGGTGAACTGGAGTTTAAAGCCCTTCGCCTACCGTGGCCTTCATCACCAGCTCCACCGATGGTTCTGTGACCACGCCCAGAGCCTCTGCGAAGGCGCCTCAGAGCTCCGAGAGAAGAAGCAACGTTAACCAGAGCCTCTCTTCGTTTCTCCGAACAGCCTTTGGCTTTCAGGCTGCGGCCCGAGACGGCGGAACAGAGGCGGCCTTTCAGCAGCGCGGCATCCTCGGAACTCGAAGAGCCGCCAAAACCAAAAAAACTCCGGAGAGAGGCCGCTTTCTGCCCAGCAGCCGGCAGCGCTGCACGGACGGCCGCAGTGCCGGCGACCAGTTCGGCGGGGCAGCAAAGAGGGGCCTTGGACCAACGTCATCCTCCTCCCGTTCCCGGCAGTCTCCGGCTCTGCCTGTGAGGCCTGGTCACCGTCCTCTTCGGCCAAGTCGTCGGGAGGAAGCCACCAGGACGACTGCAGCGCAAGCATGAAGCTGGAGACCTGGGCAGCTCTCAGATGACATGGGATGCGTGCACGCCTGCACTCTAACTTCCGAATCCGCGAAGTCTCGCTCTCCGATCTCAATTCCTGCCGATTGTGTCGTTCCCCGATTCGGGCCAGATGTGGCACATAATGCAGCATGCAGATCATATGCAGATGTGAAAGAGAGAGAGAAAGAGAGAAAGAGAGAGAGAGAGAGAGGGAGAGAGAGAGAGAGAGAGAGAGAGAGCGAGCGAGAGCGAGAGCGAGAGCGAGAGCGAGAGCGAGAGCGAGAGGGAGAGGGAGAGGGAGAGGGGAAGAGGGAGAGGGGAAGAGGCGGGCCGTCCTCGGCTGCTAGATCACATGATGTCGCCGGCAGACTGCATCGACTGAGTGCCCGTTGCCCTACATGTTGAGTCACCACGACTGTTCGAGAGCTTACTAAAGGCACCAGAAAAGGGTTCCAAGGATAGGGCATGCTTTTCGATTTTGACGCGAAAGGGGGTGCATTTGCTCGGTTGGTCGTCGCATTTCGAGCGCCACATGCCGTAGCTGCAGCCTCGAAAAATCCAGAACTCAAACAAGCCTTGTATTGGGCCAGAGGCGAACATTGCAACCTCTTCTCAACAGCAGCCCTCACTGGTAGTGTCACTGGAGTCGGCGTCACTTTGTACGCCGTCCGGAATGACATCCAAATTGATTTTTGAAGGCGTTCTTAAGCCTTCGAAACGCTTCATGCCAGACTGCTCGGTGCGAAGCACCTTCTTGACATGCATGTTGTAGGCCTCCTGGGGCAGTTTGTCACAAGTGCAACAAGAACATGTCTCCGATCACACAGCATCGTCGTGAAGGCAATTGCATCGTCGCGGAGGCAATTGCGGACGAGACTCGATGTGAGAAATGTCTGCCGGCTTTGCAGGCACGATGAGTCTGAAGATGAACTGGACAAGCAACACAACATGTTCGCCGATGACGAAGATCATGAACTTGTCACCTTCCGCTGCGGCTGCAACTACAGCTCCAGCGCATCATACAGAGCTGATTCTGACTGACTTTAGCTCTGCCACTTGCTCGCTGAACACGCATGGGATAGAAAAACACGGCCGCCAGCCCCACGTTGATCACCACGGCCACCATGTTGATCCTCGTGCGGCGTTGCTTCTTCGTTTTATGCCGTGACTTTACTGAAGTTCCACAGCTGTCAGTAAAGTTTGGGTTCAGATGTAGCTTATTCGCCATGTTGTCAAAGGCTTATCCTACCATGTAGACATCATGTGCAGCTTCGTTGTGTGTGTGTGTCTTTCTCATTGGTAATTACTGCTAGTCTGAACACTGTGCCGCGTGATAGGTGCATCAGGGTATCTCGACCCAAGGCCTGAAAATTAAGATGACTCCCGGTGCGATGGGTTTTAATGTCTAAGGAAGGATTGCTCGCCCGCAGGCAGGCTCTGTTTTGCTCTGTCTTTCCCTTCTCGGCATAAGCAGCGGGAAAGCGGCCTGTACTCCGCTAAGGAATTACAAAGACCCTGCTGACGCCAAGAACACCTGCGCTTCGTCGCGAGGCTGAGTCGAAGCTGACATGTCGGCTGAACTTTCGAGCCCCTTTGGACGTTGCAATCCAAACCGAGCAGCCGGGGGGGGGAAAGCAATGTCTAGTGGGACTTGGGTAGTTACAGCATGTTGGATATTGGGATCCAAGCGCGCCGCAGGGCACGCCTTACATTCCATTGGTGCGCCTGTACACCTGCAATGACAAGCGATGAATCCGGCCGAGGCTCCCAGTGTAAATGTACTCCCAAACGCCCAAGCCAGTACTGGCCCGCGGCAGGGGCCTCGACAGAGAAAGGCACTAGGACAATGGGCTTCTGATCGCATCCACCCAAATCCTAAAGTCGTCTACATGTTGCGACCGACTACCCCACCTCCGCGTCGCGTAGATCATCCTGCCAGCGCGGCTGTTCCGAAGTATCCAAAATCTACTATACAGACGACACGGCTGTCGGGATCTGCTGCGCTTCCGGAGCTTTGGACCGAAGGGCTGGTTTTTGGACTTTCGCTGTGACGAGATCTTCTGCCATTGCAGTCCTGTAGCAGCGCAAGCGGAGAGAAATCCTTGGTGTCAGCTCTTTTTGCATCTCCAGCTCTCACATCCGTCTTTGGTGCAAGTGTTCGTATTCTCTTGTTTCGTATGCGGTTGAGCCATCTCCTCCTTCAAGTCCAGGCTAGGGCTGGGGCTAGGGCGACATGTTTCGTAGCTCAGTCAGAGGGCTTACATGCAGCGCCGCCCCCAGTGGCTCGATGGCTGCGCCACGATTCGATGTCAGGCATACTGTGCAACTTGCTCCCATTGAGGCAAGCTAATTGTTCAAAATCCTCGGTTTCTGCTTTTGTTCTGTCTTTGCTGTCTTTAGGGCCCTGGCCGGCCTTAGCCTATCATGACCCGCCCCAAGAACCTATTCGGACTGCAAGGTTTGCACTTCTGGCTGCCTCGCCTGCGGCTACACCATTGAACTCGAAGTGAACAGTTGATGAACAGCGATGGCCTTCTCTGTTCCCCTCACATCTTGGCCGAGGTTCAACAGAGACAGCAGACAAACAGTGGCCATGATTGGCGAGATGATCCCGAAGCAAACAACCACGGCATAGGAGATCCTCGGGCAATGCGACAGAGAACCGCAGTTTTGTTTCGGCTCCGTGGTTATGCTAGAGTCGAGAAAGAAACGACATTCCCCATGCTGCTGAGTAGCGTAAGGTCCAGGTTGTCGTTAATCTTGTCCCCACCCCACGAATTCCACTCGTACTTGAACTTCTTGGCTTCCCACTGTAGCAGTGAATATTCGAAGTCCTTGCCGGCTCTCTCTTGCTTGCGCCGTTCCTGCCGAATCTCGTTGGCTGATATGCCGATCGGAATGATGAGGAAGACCAAGTCTAGAGCAACGGTGAAGAAGAAGTACCTCAAAGGTGGCAAAACAAGCGTCTTAGCACCATTGCTGCTCATCACTGGAATCCTGGTTTCCGACGATGCACGGCAAACACTCAAGGCCAATGCACCGGCCACATTCAGCAAACGTTTCTGGGTATGCAAGGGCACGGCACCAGAACATCAGACGGAAAAACTTGTAGCAATCATAATCTGCTCTCTTGTTGCTTCTGGGTCTGCGCGGTCGAAGGACATCCAAGACAAGGTCAAGCGTGATATGGCAAGAGCTTCAGGCTACTCAAGGTTATGTCGGGCAACGCAGGATTTTGTCCGAAACAGTTCAGCTGACGACATTCAGCCCTTCCTGCCAAACACAAATCAGGCTCAATTCTTCGAACAAGGAACGTCTTCAGATTTGCAGACACACTCTTGTCGCAGGTTGTCTCAGCCCACACCTCGGTCGGCTTGAGAGCAGTCGCTAAGCTCGGCCTTGCAGAAATGAAACCCCATTAGCTTGGGCATCCGTCGGCCAAGTGACTTCTGTTGCCGCGGCACTCGCAGGGTGGCAGCCATGAAAGCAGAAGCGGCCGTCCTTCTCGAAGCTGTAAGGCTTCAGCGCCTGGCCAGAGCACCCAGAGTCTCAGAGCCCCCAAAGACGTGATGCGACGCTAGCCTCCATGGTCTCGGTCGAGAGCGGGGCGAAGCTGGCATAGTTTGGGAAGGTTGCAGCTGCGGCCTCCTCGAAGGTGTCGCCACAGGTGGACCTCACATGTTCGCCCAGGATTCATCAGACTGTCGTGGTCCGCCACAAGTCAGCCAAGCTGCTGATAGAGGGTCGCCAGAAAGCATGAGGAAATGAACGGGAACAGAGCCACAAAAATCCTGGGCGCGTCAAACGATGTGAGTGGTTGAATGCTGCATCGAAGGAAGTGGGAAGACATGACGAGCTGTGACATGCTCCAGCCGCCAACAAGTGATTACTCTCGCAACGAACTTGAGTCGCGCTGGGTCTGAGTACTTGTGGTGTTCTGCACTTCCTTCGTCCTTGGATCATGCCGAGTGACTTCACGACAGCAAGAATGACGGAAAGCTTCTCCACTTTGTCATCTTCACGTCGGTGGTTCCTTGCAGAGGCGGACCGGGCATCATAACTCGGAGGCTATAGAATTCTGTCAAATGCAACCGAGCGTCTCGAGACGGACAATGGCTGGAGCTATCCAGGTCCATGACAGACTCCCGAACTTGATCAAGACTGTCAGAACCAAAGGGGCATAAGCACCGAGGCCCGGATCCTCGTCATCCTGAAGTGAAAACTGCCAGTTCAGGACGGCTGAGATGGCCCCGACGTAGGCTGCCAGGTATCCACCGGTGAGGACCTCAGGTGACTTGGCTCTAGCTGACCAGTCAGGCTGCAGGCTTACAGGGATGTGTCCAGTGCCAGGCAGCATTCACGATGAGCGGGCGAAATGCACTGGGTGGCCTCGAATCCCAGTCTGGATTGATCTGCTCGTAGTCTTCCTTACGGGACTGCTGTGGCCGAGAGATCAGGGGAGCTCTGCTGAGAAGACGAGCATCTATGTCGTTCACCCCCCATCGGACGCAGATCCTTGCTGTGGTAATGGTCCAGAAGATCAACAAGATAGCAGCCCACACCTGGTCACGTCGAAGCTTTTGAACTGCATCTGCGAGAGTGTAGATAGTAACATGCGCTGAGTGCGGCGACAGGACAAAGTCGATATGGCACAGTTAGGCAGGCAGGAGACCGAGTAGACGAGAGCCAGTCCGCTGCGGAGATATCCCATGGACTGCTGCGGAATGTAGCTGTCCGAATCTGAGTCGAGTCATGTGCAGTGGCACTGCAACACACCCAACCCGCTCGCAACTTGACCAAACGAGTGGCGCCAGGCTGGGTGGCGGGACACATAAATCACCAGCCCCACGATGCCGAGAAATGACATGGCATGACCTTTGAAAGTGCTGGGAGCGGCAAGCAATGCAGCAACAGCATGAGCTAGTGACTTGCGAGCGTGAAGACTGCGGTACGAGCAGAGCCAGTCTCCATCGGTTGGGTAGGGCACACTGCTGTATTGACATCGACTAGGCGCATACATATCCCAGAAAGCGGAAATAGAAGCCAATCTCCTCGCCGAAGTACTTGCCTTGTGCACTCAGTCGGCATTTCAAGGACCCCTTATTCAGAGACAGACAGCGTGCATCTGGCAAGAGCATGCTGTAAGGCCAGACACGAAGCTCGTCTGCCTGCTCTCCCTGGAAATGCACCCACTTGCACAGGTTCAGAAAGTGGCTGTGCAAAGTTTTCAGAGCTTCACCCTCTGGGCAAGGAAAGTAGCATTTGATGATACCTGGAGCAAGATCAACCGAAGGATATTCTTTGAAGCAACAGGAAGCAAGGCTCCCGGCCTTGTCTTTCCATCTCGTCCAGGCTGACCCACTGGTCCAGCCAGAACTCTAAGATCCGAATGGAATCCCTCATAGAGAAGTCTTCGAAGCGGCTAGCATCCTCTACTTTGAACTTGTCCCAGGCCACCAAGGGTCGAAGCTGGATGTCTCTCATGGGCTCGTTACCGGGATAGGGACCGTGCTCCTTGACCTGCTTGTAGACGCTCTCTTTGTAAGGCATGGTATACTCCAGATGTTCAGCCATGTGCTGAATGACTGGGCCATCGAGTGGCAAATAAACCTTCAGGAAATCCTCATCTTCGTCCACACTGGGAAAGCTTGACATGATCAGGCCGGACTCCGCAACAATCTCTATCAGGAAGCGTCTGACATGCGTTTGGTACTCCGCCAACGGCAGAGCTTCGTCGTTGAGTCTTTTAGTAAGCTCTGCAAATTTGTCTGAGCTATGCTCGTTGCCTGTCGCAATGAAGATTCTCTTCAGCTTCTCATAGGGTTCTTCCACGATCTTATCTTGATGCACTTCTCGAGGAAAGACAAGGGCCATTGTGCAGTCATTGGTGTCATCACGCAATGGGAGGCGTGGCAGCAGGCCCGGGAGCTTCACCATATCCTCTGCAACATGCGCAGGGAAACCCTGAGACCCTGTCGTTCCCGTCGTTCCTGTCGCTCGCGCCCCGACCCCGCCAGCCTCGGCATCGCTGCCGACAAAATGGTACGAGACCCTCGCCATGCCCGCCGGGTGAGGCCCAGTGCGCAAAGGGCGCTCTCTGCTTCTTTGCTTTGAGGTTCCAGGATGTGCTAGGGAGCTGCATGATGCTGCATGATGTTGCATGATGCATGGTTCAATCGGGTGAAAAGACCAGCCAAATGGCTGAGATTAGGATGGTTCAGTGCTTCCTGTCGCTGGTGGGAGAATTGGGAGAGGTCCACGTGTAGTGGAGACTGCCACAGGCACAATCTGCGGAGACCAGTGCATGCGAGGACGAGACGTCTGCCGAATGTAATTGCACAGTCATGGAGTTCTGCAATATGGTCCAACGAGTGCCACATGCCACTGCAATAACTTGTCCGAAAAAGCATGGTGCGTGCGTTTCTGCACACCCGTGTACGGCAGACTAGTCAACTCACCTGCATGTATGTAACATACATCTGCCCGGATAGCAAGATGGAAATTGCAGGAAGCAGGCATCTGCATGCGTGCATACATAAATACGTACATTACGTACATACCTACCTGCATACATACCAACTACATACAGCCGTTCATCCGTCCGTCCATCCCTCCATCCCTCCATCCCTCCATCCGCGCATCCATCCATCCATCCATCTGGACACTCATCCATACAGATCCTTTCGGAGCAGGTTTTCTTGGTACGAGCTGATATTGTAGTATGGAGTGAATCAGTGGGTTCCCGGCCACACCGTCACCACGACGAGCGTAGCGCAGATAGCTGCTCTGCCACGCAACATTGAGCGCCTGTTCAAAACACAGCGGGTTCTGCTTCAACCACGAGCTCGAAACTCTTGCCGGAAGGATAGATTCATCCCTGTGCCAATGACAAGGCCTGGGCCAGCAGACGTGCCCTTTCGAGACTGCCTGCAGCCAAAATCTGCGAGAAAGCTTTTGCCGGCCTTTGTGCACTATGCCGTGGTCAACGTGTCCAAGTTCAAGCAAGCAAGTGACAAATCAATCCTCACATTGCTACAGGGAACCCCTTCGCTGCATCCATACGCCACTCAGCATTTCAGCACGGCCTGTTTCACGAGCTTCCTTTGCGATGGCCACTGTCAGCTGCTCAAACTCAGGACCTGAGGTGCGCATCCCGCTGCTTTCCTCCGTGCTCACCGTCTCCGGGCCACAGGCTTCGGAAGTCCCCATCTGCTGCGGTGACCAAGGGACCTCAATGTTAAGGTCCCTTCGATGAGAATTCCAAGGTCACAAACCCCTTGCCTGGCCTGGCAAAGCCAAGCCCAAGGTCTCCAAGGCCTCTCCACGGCAAGCTGGGTTCGCTGTCGCTGTCCTCGTGCAGACGTTGCCTCACCCAAGGCTGTGGTCGTTCCAAGCTTCGTAGGAGCCTCGGCAATCGTGGTCCCCTTTCTGTATCCTTGTAACCTGCCGCCCTCTCTACTACGCGACTCCACTCCACCCAAGTACTCTCAAACCGACCGGATCACCTATGCGGAGCCAGTCCTTGATTAATCTGTCTTCTTCCCAGCGTCTTGCACTCACAAGTTCTGAAGGGGCATGGCATGCACGTCTCCCAAGACAAGCGACCGCCGGCAGGTGAATGTCGAGTACTCCTTTTGCTGCCTGCAGGCTTGGTCTGTTTAATTTGAGCAGCATAGCTAGGTAGGCAGGCAGGTAAGTAGGCAGATCATGTACATGTACATGTACATACACATACGCATATACATACACAGTAAATATATAATATACTATATAATAGATACTAGCTACTATACACCGCATAATATATAGTACATACATACATACATATATATATACATATATATATATATATATATACAACAAGTACATATACTATGTACTTGTACTTATACGTATGCTTATGCTTATACTTATGCTTATACTTATGCTCGTACTTATGCTTGTACATACACATATACATAAGCATAAACACAATCATACATATATGTACATATACATATTCATATACATATACATATACATATGCATATACCTATACTATACATAGAGATTACACATTGTACAGCACACCTTACACATCTATGTATGTATATACTTACATACAGAATGCCTGAAATGTGCTATGTGTTTATATGCCTGCCTGCCTGCTTGGATCATGCATGCATGCATGGGATGGATGGACGGATGGATGGATGGAGGGATGGAGGGATGGAGGGACGTGTGTGTATATATATATATATATATATATATGCTAGCCCCCCCCCCCCCCCCCAACCCTGAATTCCCTAAATTCCCTAATTCCCTACCCATTGGATTTAGGTATTTCCCTAAATTCCCTAATTCCCTACCCCATGTGTTGGATTTGGGGAATTCCCTATTTCCCTAAATTCCCTAAATTCCCTAAATTCCCTAAATTCCCTAAATTCCTTAAATTCCCTAAATTCCCTAAATTCCCTAAATTCCCTAAATTCCCTAAGTCTGACCCCCATGGAGAAGATTCAATGGTTTCCGTTCATGGGTAGGGAATTTAGGGAATTTAGGGAATTTAGGGAATTTAGGGCATTTAGGGCATTTAGGGAATTTAGGGAATTTAGGGAATTTAGGGAATTTAAGGAATTTAGGGAATTTAGAGAATTTAGGGAATTCCCCAAATCCAACACATGGGGTAGGGAATTAGGGAATTTAGGGAATTTAGGGAAATTAGGGAATTTAGGGAATTCCCTAAATCCAACACATGGTCCGGGCTGGGAGTCAGGAATGTTAGGGAATGCGCTAAAACCAACACATGGGGCTGGAAATTAGGGTATGTAAAGACTTTAGGGATTTAGGGAGTCTGCAGGAACTCATGCATTCTGTAAATTCGAGGCATGGAAGCAGTGATTAGAGAATTTAGGGAACTCGACCTCGCGACGTCGCCGGTTGACGTGTCTGTGCAACTGATACTTGTAGTAATATTGATCTTATTTTGAAAACTTTGAAAACTATAATACTCGTACGAGTACTTGAGAAGAGGGCCACGAAAGCTAGGGGAGAGGAAGCGTAGCTGCGAGCAATTGGGGCTGAGTAAGGCGGGGGACACATGTGACATGAGAGTACTGTCGAACACGAGGCCGAGGCGACAAGGTATGTTCGGTTCAGTTTCATGGAGTGTCAGGTGGCTGAAAGATACTTTGGATTTTCAATCCCAAATTCTGTAACCCTAAGACGTAATATTAGAAGCCAACAGGCCAGATTCTGTTAGAAGGTGCTGCCGCCATGCTGTAACGGGAACCACCGGGTTGGCGTTGCGATCTGGAGGTTTGTGCTGGTTACAAGTTTCTGTTACGGTTGGAGTGCAAGTTGATTTGTAGTGAAGGTGCTAATAGCCGACCATGTCTGCGGGGCAAACGGAGGGATCCTGGGGCTTCATGTGTTCGCGAATCTCTGGAGGCTTTTCGAGCAGGTCGCTGGCACAGCAGAGGATCCACGCCGAAAGCTGTCCTGGCAACAACTGCCAGTCAGGCACCGGCAGCCCTTTTGGCGCGGTGCCAGAGGTTGCCGCTGACGCTCCAGCGGCGCTGCGACTCTCGGCGGCTCGGCCAGGTGCCTTCTCGTTGCCAGAATGTGCGCATGTGCTGGACTTTTCGATTCACTGTTGATGCGCTGCTGGTATTGCCTGCCAGGCGCAGGCCGCCAGTTTGGCCGGATCTCTGAGGAGGCGTGGGCGGCAGCGGGAAGTTGAGATCGTGCAGAGCTCTGCGGATTTGCACGGAACGCGTGCATTTCCGTAACCAGCGCGGCAGCAAGCGGAAGAAGACAAGGGAGAAGCGCTCGCCCAAAAAATTATCAACCGCGTGGGCTTTCCGGCCGTTGATGATAGTGAACTTCTTCTTCGTGCACATCCGCGCGGCTTGCTCAGGACGTCGCGCTAAGGTCTGCAGCAGTGTTCCGGGCGCATCGTTCGGCCACGTGCGTACATGCCCGCCGGTGAAGTTGCCGAGGCTCATGAAGACGGAGTCGCCACTGTTGTTAATGTCTCTGTGCAGGCGAGCGCCGCGGCCACGATGGCCCATGTTCATGGTAATGGAGGTGTAGCCATTACGCAAAAACGCGCGCAAAGGCGGCGATGTAGCATGCTGCTTCAAGTAGCGATTGAGAACCTTGCAGAAGCGCGGGCATGTGTTGGAGGTCCGGGATAGCCTGGTTCGCGGTCTAGCTGGCACCAGGCCGAACGTGCGACTAAACACATGTTTGTGTCCGCGGGGAGTGACATTCTGTCTACTTCGATTCGGCTGCCATTTCCAAGCACGCAGCAAGTTCAGGACATCACCGTGTCGGATCTCGCGTCGTTGCAGCACCTCTGCGGCTAGGGTCTCTGCAGCGGGTTGTGACATGGCGGCTGGCGGCTAGTGCAAGAAGGCAAGGGTGTTTGCAGGGTTCGGCGGGGTGTGTAGGATGGTGCTGCGTATGGATTCGTAAGTAATCGTAGGGGAAGGCTGAGGGCACAAGCTGAAGTTACGGTTCCTACGTGCTTGAGGCTCGATGTTCGTGGGCGCGTCTCTCTAGAGGCTCAAGGAAGCCCCCTCACGAGAAGTCTTGAACAGCGCAGGCCGCGAAGACCAGCCTCTGCTGCAATTTTACAGAAGTTTAGGCAGAGTCGGCGCAACTACGCCGTTGACGGCTCGACGAAATGTGTGGCTGCATGTTTAGCAAGGGTTCAGTTGTTTCAACATTTTGCACATGTTGAACCACGCGACATGTTCCTTAGAAGCCCTCTGTGCATCAGCCTGAACATGCAAGTGCTGGTGCAACTCTGATGTTGTTCTTGATGTTTTACAAAAGTGATGCTCTCACCTACAACTGCTGGGCTTAAGTCGACCCGAGTTGCGTGAAGTCGGCTTTCCCCAAGCTCACGCCCAGATTCGCGCGAAGTCGACCCATCCGCAAAAAGTCGACCCACAGACTGGGATCCGCAACTGCACGCCGGTTTCGAAAGCGCACAGCCCGACATGCTAAATCTGCGCGTGGCACGAGACTCTTCGCACAAAGTGAAGCAAACGTGCACTGAAACAAACGAAAACTGCAAGTGCACGCCCCGTTCTGGTGGGCGCTTTCCAAGCCTCGAAACGAGCGGAAAATGCATGTACACGCTGGGTTTCGAGGAGGGTGCAAACCGCGCCTTCACTATTGGTTGCAGCCTCCTCTCCTTCGCGGACGCACAGGTTGGGGTTCACGGCTGACGGTTTGTAAACTACTCCCGAGTAACGCTGCTCCCACTGTCCTTTTGAACCGCAGGATCTTCAGCAACAGATGCCAAGGCATGAACAACCGCAAGATCATGTGGGTGCCCAGTGGAGAGATGTAGTGATTCCCGACCAAACAAAGTGACCGAGACTCTTTTTCGATAGTAACAGCTGATCAGAAAGTGATGTTTGCATGTATACCAGGCCGGGCTCCGGAAGGCTTAACCCCGAGGTGACCCGGAAACGGTTGATGTTTGGATGTATGCCAGGCTTGCTAGGACGGGCTCCGACATGTTTAGCCGCAAGGTGACGCTGACACGGTTGATGTTTGGATGTGTGGGACAACTTCCGTCTTGCGGGACAACTTCCACATGTACTTCTGTACATGTTCTTACGAGCTCGTATGCGGAAGTCAAGGTGGTGGAAGACTGCACGGCAGCAATGTGTGCTTGCAGTTCCGTGCGAGTCCAAGAGTGCCCGTCGCGACGAGCCAGAGCAAAGAAACTGTATGCGCGCAAAGCCGCAGCAAAATAATGCCTGGGCAAGACGCGCCACGAAAAAGGCCGACCACAAACGGTGGCGCGTATGAGCAGACAGGTTTCCTCAGAAGGCAGCTGGAGGCGAAGCTTCAGAGCGTTCCAGACATACCCAAAGTCCGCAAGAGATAGGGTTTCACTGGCAACGGCTGGAGCGCGACCAAGCAGAAAACACAGAAGCCAGGCGAGGTCACTGCGCTGCTGCAGGTGTAACTGAAAGCGCTTGCCTTTGTACTGGAAGGTGTACACAGCCATAGGCCTGCGAAGTGGAGCAGAGGCAAGAGTTAAGCATCACATCTTCCCCTGGCCTCGCAGTTGGACGACACTGCGAAGGACCAAAAAGAACTGGAGCCAAGACGCAGCGCAAACGACAAACTTGAAACACAAGCAAACTGAGGGACCTTGTGGAAGGAGGGGGGGGGGGACCTGTGGGTAGGGAGGGGGGGGGGAGCCCCCCCCCCACCTTGTCCCACGCGCCGCAACCTTAAAGGGGGGTTGTCTCTTCAAAATGCTTCATGAGCGAGGTGAGGGGGGGGGGCGGCCCCTCCTCCCCCCCACCCCCCCACCTTAACTCTTGGACGTCCCACCTGATAAGGTGTAAGCCCTGGTTTTGCCCTAGTGCCTTAATACAAGGTAGACCAAGTGAAAATTGCTAAAGGGCAACTCCCGCGAGCTCAACAGAGCTAGCTTTCGTGACTAATACTTTTTGTAATACTACTGGTGAAACTGATAGTATGCTAGTATGAATACTGATGTTCCCAAGAATACTTGAAATCATGTACATTGTATGAATAGTCTTGATGCGAATACTAATATACATACTATAGCTAGTATTATCGCTAGTATGAATATTGGCTATGCATATTCGTGAAATTACTCATTTTTGGAGTACTCATATTCATGCTAATATTAGCACTAAGGCTAGTGCGAACGTGCATAATAACATGCTCATACATGAATGTTAGCATTCGTATTAATATCAGCATTGGTATGTTTTTCAGTAGTACTAGTAACTCATACGAAGAGTAACCTCAAGTTTCATATTCCGACGAATACCAACGCATGTTTTGTTCATACTAATTTTAATTCTACTACTAGTATCTACTCCTAATATTGAAAAAACTGTACTAATACCAATTTTAGAATTGATGTGAACACGAACTTTAATGTTCTTGCCAATACTAATATGCATAGTAATATTAGTTAGCATTAATGTATAGGAAAACTAATGTTCTTACGAATACTAATAATCATGTTCCCCTTTTATATTCATATAAGAATCGTCATGCCTAGATACGTACTAATGCTAGTACTCATGCTAATACGAGTATTAATACCAATACAAGCATAGGTATGAATATTCCTACGGGTATTTATGCTCATGTTCTTAACAAAATTATTCTCAGTACGAATACCGACATTAATAGTCTCTTTAGAACCATATTGATATTAATATGAGCACTAATACTTCGGCTAGTACGAACATGCATAATACTAGCAAAATTATTTGTGCTCATACAAATATAGAAAGATTATTACATACTCATATTAATATCAATACCAATATGAATTTACAAACATCATATTAATGTCAATATCGTTTTTGTAATGTATACTAAAGAATACATCAGAATAAGGCACAAGGAAATGAATGCATCAGATTGTTAAAAACTCAATGTTTTCATTTACTAATATGTACGGTCATAGTATTATACTAATCTACTAATAGATTAATATATTAATATACTGAGAAACTGATATACCAATAGACCATTGTTACTAATATACCAATATACGAGTATACCCAACAATTTTTTTAATGAATATATATGTTTTGTTTATATACCAATATACTGAATATACACATATGAATACTTATACACATAATGTACTAAGACTAAGTTTTTAAAGCCCAGCCCACGTCTAATATTAATACGAATACTAACACGAACACTAACACTAACACTGCTATAGACATATATTAAATTAAACTGGAGCACTAATACTCATATTAATATTAAGACTAACACTGACGTTGACACTGACACCAGCATCAGCACTAACAGGAACACTAATCAAACGAACAGTAATATTGGACAGATACCAGCAGCATTGTTAGAACTTCTAAAATTAGTAATGACACAAAACTAATAATAATGCTAACGCTAGCAAAAATATTAAGGTTACTACTCACAATAGTTGAGGTTAAAACTTAGAACAAAATTAAGTCAAGACCAATGTTAACACTGTTTTTTAAGACTGAAACTAATAATAAGACTTTGACAAGATGACAATAATTAATAAAGGATGAGGCACACAAACTGGACTCTGTCTTTTACCACTCCGACAAGACGCGCCGAGAGTGTAAATGGTGTCCATAAAACTGGACCCTGTTTTTTACCAGTCTGTCAAGAGGCGTCGAGAGTGCAAACTTTGTACGGGAACACAAACACCATCGGTATTTACAGTGGTTTCGTGTCTTTTTCACGCTGTGAAGACAGTAATGAGCAGGACAATGGCCGAGGTTGGTCCTGGGGGGGGGGGTTACCATATATATATATATATGCATATATACGCACACACATTTGTTTTTCGTTCATATTGGTGCTTATGTGCCTATACATTCATGTAGTTGTTTGTTCTCTGTACTTCTTTTTGTGCTTTGTCATACTTGTTTTCATGCACTGCACACACGCACACGTAGCCTTGTTGAGCACCAGCAACCCCGAAGAAGCAATGCCGAGACCTCCAGGAAAGCAGCCGCACGGGGCGAGTGCAGTGCCGGGGCGAAGAATCGCTGTCCCACAGCCACCTGGTGGTTTCGCGTTTTGGCCCAGAGGGTTTGGGGGAAAACTTCGGCTGTTCACCAGGGAAAGCCCAGTACGGAAAGACCTCGAAGCGTGAACTGGGCCGGGACCAGGGCAAGGAATGCTGGAGGCCCTGCCTTGTCCATAGCTTTGAGTGGCCAGCCGATGGCCGAGCTTGGTCCCAGTTCTTCCGCCAATGCTGCGTTTTTCGCCTCGGAAGCTCTGCAAGCTGCAGGCAATATGAAAGTCTGATCCTGTGCTGCGCGAGCCACAAGGAAACCGCCGAGAGCCAGCAATGCCGAGGGCGATCGAGGCGCCTTTGCAAGCGACAATTGACAAACTAGGCGCTAAGCGACACAAAAGTAGCTGTGCTGATTCGTGCATGAGGCGGTGCAGCACTGGCCTCGTCCACCGGAACGACGCAGGGAACAACGGCACCTCGGCTTGTGAGTCTCTGCGACAGGTTCTCGCCTTTATCTTCGGCTGTTTTTTGTACATATGAAGCTCAAGTAAACAAAGCGAACATCCCGAGAGTCCAGGCAAGTTGAAAAGAGAGGCCCGATGATGTCCTTCACGACCTGGCACAGCATGGCATGCTTCCCTGCAGAAGCTTGCACGATGGCTACAAACCAGATGATGCTCAAGGCAACATATTTCGATGAAGACCGGTCCAGGACTTCAGGGGCGACTGCACGCACAAGCAGTCACCGCAAGTTCTTGGGGCGTCGACCAGTCGAGGCGTCAGTGGGACCACGCCCAGTCTGCGCAGCAACTTCCTGCCAGGTAAAGTGAGTACGGCAAAGAGTGACTGTTTCGATCAGAGTAGTTGTTTTGATGATTTGAGGGTCACACGGTATTTCGAGCTTGGGGCTTCCCTAACCTAAGCGGAAATTGAGCATTGAGGAGCACAGCTGCTTGCATGCGAACACTGCACTTGTTCTCGGAACCGGAAATGGCAAATAGCTTACGTGCGTCCTGATTCGAGCAGCGGCTAGGGCATCCAAGGTTCCTGACATGTCTGGCGGTGAAAACCCGATGGAAAAAACGAGTTGGGAGGATCCCAGTGCTCCGCTGCCCAGTTCGGCCTTCATCAGTATCCGCCCTATCCGCTCCACCTCAGGCACTGTTGCAAGTCTGGAGTGTTTGACGTTCGAATCGTTTCAGAAGGAGGTGGTGAGATGCTCAGGCAACAGCCTTCAGCAAACAGCCTGCCATCAACGACCGGCTGGAGATAGGCTCGCGCAAGACCAGCGAGTTGGGGACTGTTGGCCTTGGATCCACGGCACGCAGCTCCGCCAGCAGCTCTGGCGGAAAGCCTTCCACCTGCCACAGCAGCCATGGCCTGAGCCTAGCGGCCTAGCATCCGGACTGTTTCTGCTGTTGCGGTAGGTGCGCCTCCGGCTTCACGGGCGGCAGGACCAGCTTGCTGGCTGCTGGCTGCAGGGAGCCGTCTCCCTGCAGCGGAAGCAAAGGCAGCTGTCGGGCCACCTGCAAAGGCAAGGGCGGCTCACGGGGGGGGGGGGGGGCGGCTTCAGGCGACCCAGGGCCACGTCCAGCGCAACATGCTTTAAGCCTTTGCCTCCACCAGTCGGGAAGCATCGTTCCGGGGTGCTGCGTCTAAAAGCTGATCCTGCGATGACCCAGCACGATTCAAGCTGAGTCCTGTGACAGCCGATCCTCCGACCTCAATCCACCTAGGTGCACAATCGACAAGCAGTCCAGCAGTACCAGGATCTGTCTCCATGAATCCAGTCCGGGGAAAGCCTGCACGGAAGTGGCACAAAGCTAAAGCCCTGAAAGCCTGTCCAGCTATTAGTTTTTATATTGCTGCTACAAGCAACAGGGACCTCGACAGCAACAGCAACAGCAAGAAGATGAAGAAGGATAACGTCACAAATTAGAACATGAATAAGAGCAATAGCAATAAAATCAATAAAGGAAAATAAACAAGAACAAGAACATGCAAAACGAATTCCTGCAACATCTCAGCCACTTGCCTCTGCCTTTGGCAGCAGTCGGAGCAGCGCTGCAGCGCCGAGGCGTTGGACGCCGAGGCCTCTGAGGAACTGCAAGCGGTGTTCAGGCGACATGCTTGATTTCCCTCGTACTGCATGTGCAGCAAGGAAGACTTGAGGTGGATCGAGGCCGCAGCCATCCAGCAAGCCGGCGGGTGCAGAGGCCTCGACCTCCCGTAGTACACCGTAGTTACCAGGTGACCAGTACTACGGAGTACCCTCCTCAGCTGTTCCGTGTTGGCCTGGCCTTCTCATGCAGCAAGTGGAAACCTGCCAGACACAGGCGCAAGTATTTCGAATCCTGGGACCTGAGCCCTGCACCATCAGTACAACGCTGAAGCACCGGATACGAAGCGACTAGACTGAAAGCTACTGGCCCTTGCCCACGCCTTGCGCGCGCAGAGCAGCACGGAGAGGCGAGCATCCGTCAAACGCTGCGCGAGCCTTCAAGCAGGAGCAACAGGAAAGGCAAATCTGACTCGGCTGGAGAAGGTTGTGACAATCGTCGGAATTCAACAAGTTTCCATCTGGCCTCTTCTGAGCATCGCATCGCCTTCCGCGCTTCTGTTTGGGCGTAACATATACATTTGTACACATACACCTTTCATGCACTGTCCCACTCGAAGTCTGCAAGTCGTACCACAGCGAAGCGGCTTCGAACCCGAAGCCTGCTGAGGCTGGCAGAAGGTCTCTTCGTCCGTGAGCATGCACTCGCAGCCTGCAACGGCCAAGAAGGACGTAAAAGGACGAGCAGTTAGCGCTCCGCTCCGCAGCTTCGCCTCGGAGCTTCGCCAGGACCTGGGCCACCATGGGCCTCCCGGGCGGAGATTCGTTCGCATGCGCTTCGCTGGCTGCTACTCAGGCGCCTGAAGAACGTGGAGGCCGTGGCCGTTGCAGGAATCTCAAAGACAGAACGCAACAAAGGGTGCGGCTCTGGTGGCTACTGTCGCATACCGTAGCGGTGAGAGCTACCACGAGGCCACGGCCGCAGCGTAGTAGGTCCAGCGGAGGGCCGAGTCTACGGGCTCGGCCCGGACGGCGGCCACCTGGAACAAGCGAAAAGCATCACTTCTGCTCCTCTCACCCCTCCTATTTTTTTGTGTCTCTCTCTCTCTCTCTCTCTCTCTCCTCCGTCGCACCACCAACAAATCAGCACAAGCTGAGGCCCGCGACGAGCTCCAGGATCAGCTGCGGCACCTGCGCCTGCCATGCAACAACTGCATGGGCCGTAAGGGCCACACATACGGCACTGGCTGAGAAGATTCAAGCCTCCAGGCATTCCAGGCCTCTGAATGCCTCCCAGCCCCGAAACGACTATACTGTATCATCCTCTGTCCTTCAGAAACTCATTCCAGGCACAGCCAGCAAGCAGCTCTTCCCTGGAGGAAGACACGGCCCAGTCCTGTGCAAACGCAAAGCTTGCACCAGCTCTGCAGTTCGCAACACGGCACGGCATGGCATGTGGAGGATTGGGGCCCCCACGGCTTGTAGCGCGAAGGGCAAGCCGTAGGATCGTACCGGGAGGAAAGCGAAGACCTCGCTGCTTGGCCGCTCTGCTTGGCTCTGCTAAACCATCGCTTCGAAAAGCCTCTGAGCCGAGCCGCGTGCCTGCTGCGCACCGCGGCTTCGGTCGAAGCCACCTGCAGTCAGAGCTGTGAAGTACCATCGGCTCTGCGGCGTGTACACGCTTCGCGCCCTGAACCGCGGCCCGGCGGGCCTTCCGGGCTTTTTGGCAGCGCCAGCTCCAAGAGCGTGGACGGGGGCCCGGGCGATGCCAAGCCGGGCTTGGACAAACCCTCAGCTGCCGCTCAGGCTCCACTGAACCGTTCCGGGCCCGGGCTTTGAGGCTTCCGGGCTCTCTGCAACGAAAAAGCTCAGATCCCAACCTCTGGCACCTGAAAAGCATAGGCCATGAGCATGAGAGGATGAGAGAAGGAGAGAGGGAGAGAAAGAGGGCAACACCAGAAAACTCCACCTCAGGCTGAGGTTTCAAACCTGAAATCCCCATTTCCTCCCAATCTCCCAGAGTGCCTGAAACCGTCGGCGGAGCAGCAGCCAATGGTCTGCTTCCCAACTCTGGCCTGTTTGGTCTGAGCTGTTAGCACCGTTGACGGCTCTTTTGTGATGCAGCGGCTGCTTCCACATGACATAACACGACTCACTCAGTGCTGTCACTTGCCTCCATCTCGAGACACCTCCCCGTGCCACACCGATGCCCGAAAGCGCAGACATGCTCACGAAGCCTCAAGTTTCACGGGGCCCGTCATCTCCTCCCAGCGTGCTTCGACGGCTGCGTCCTGCAGCTCCAAGCGGAGTCCGGTGCGGGGCGACTTGGCGACTGCCGCTGCCGCGGTGCCGCGTCCTCCGCGTAGCGCACGCGTAGGCCGTCGGCTCCTCCCGCGGAGCTGCGCAGGCCGACGCGGAGACGGAACGAGGGAGACCCTGAGGGAAGACGGGAGCCGAGCGGCTCGCAGAGGTCGGTCCTTCCTCGTTCGGAGCCGACGCCGCCGAAGCCGACATCCCCTGAAACTCCACCGAGACCTCCCGCACTGACGCGAGAGATTCCTGGAAGCAGAGAGACACGTGACCCTGCCTGGCGCAGTCGCTTCAAGAACAGAAGAAGCGAGGGCGGCAAGGAGGCAAGGCGTCGGAAGAGCTCCTGAAAAGAAGCTTGAAAGACTCCAACTGCACGCTTCACAGACGTCAACGTCACAGCCCAGGTCCTCCTTTCGCGGTTGAAGCTCCGTCCGCAGAGGCATTCGAAGCACGGAGCCCCAGGAGGGCCTCGTCTCAAGCAGTGAACAAGGCCGTAACACACCGCCCGCTCCAGGCCTGCACAGCTCGCGAGCTTCCTCGGCATCTTCCAGCCACCGGGGCAGCACCTGAAGCAAAACTGAAGCTATCAGAGAGCAGATGTAGTGCCAGAAACAGGCCAGATGGACGTAGCCAATTCCGCTGGGATGTTGTGAATCCTCAGGTCACTTAGTGTCACTGGTGAAGGCTCAGCTCCAGCAAGCTCCATCTTCAGGACTACGGCCAGAGAAACTCTCAAGGCGTGAAGCCGAAACCCTGCAAGCACCACCATCAGGGCCGCGGCAAACTCCAAGCGGTAAGGTCCGGAGAAAAGGCGTGGGCGGTCCGTCAGGGCGAAAACTGCCTGGCGACAACTCCGAAAGCCCTCGCAAAAGCTCTGAGCTCTGCTCCGCGCCTTAAAGCCAAGGCCTTTCTCACCAGTGGCAACGACGCCTCAGTGGCAACGTCTGCAGCGTATGTCTGTGCTGTGGCTTTCAGATCCGTGAATCTGAGAGCACGATCCTGGCTTTTGCGTGGTTCAACAAAACCATCAGAAGCTTCCTTTGAGACACATCGCCGGCATCTGTTGTGAATGCGGGAGTTTGGTAAAGGCTCGTGGAAGCTTCAACACTCCTTCAGCCAAATCTCATGTCGGTGTGCAGACGACAAGCACGACACGACTGGACTCGCAACTCGGAATCGCACGACCGCCGGGGCCGTATTTGGCAACGCCGACCTCTGGCGTGACAACAGGCGAATCGCTCGACACATTAGGCTTCGTTGTCGTTTCTCCCTTCCTCCGTGCCTTCGACGAGTTGCCAATGTCGCAGATCGCTCGGATATCTGCCTGAGGGTAGTGTGCGAGAGCGATCGAGAGAGAGCGAGCGAGAGAGCGAGAGCGAGAGCGCAAGAGCGCGAGAGCGCGAGAGCGCGAGAGAGCGAGAGAGCGAGAGAGCGAGAGAGCGAGAGAGCGAGAGAGCGAGAGAGCGAGAGAGCGAGAGAGCGAGAGAGCGTGAGCGCGTGAGCGCGAGAGAGCGTGAGCGCGAGAGAGAGTGTGTGTGTGTGTGTGTGTGTGTGTGTGTGTGTGTGTGTGTGTGTGTGTGTGTGTGTGTGTGTGTGTGTGTGTGTGTGTGTGTGTGTGTGTGTGTGTGTGTGTGTGTGTGTGTGTGTGTGTGCGTGTGGTGCGTGCGTGTGTGTGTGGTGCGTGCGTGCGTGCGTGCGTGCGTGCGTGCGTGCGTGCGTGCGTGCGTGTGCGTGCGTGCGTGCGTGCGTGCGTGCGTGCGTGCGTGCGTGCGTGCGTGCGTGCGTGCGTGCGTGCGTGCGTGCGTGCGTGCGTGCGTGCGTGCGTGCGTGCGTGCGTGCGTGCGTGCGTGCGTGCGTGCGTGCGTGCGTGCGTGCGTGCGTCGTGCGTGCGTGCGTGCGTGCGTGCGTGCGTGCGTGCGTGCGTGCGTGCGTGCGTGCGTGCGTGCGTGCGTGCGTGCGTGCGTGCGTGCGTGCGTGTGTGTTGCATGCCCTGGTGCGAAGGGTACTACATGGACTTGCTCGCAAAGTGTTGTTTTATGTTATTGATGCTGTTGAAATCGCTCGTTCAAGCCGATCGTCGTCGTGTTGCGTATTGTCGAATGAATCACAAAAGAAAGGTTTCTCCGCAGCAGGCACCTGGGGGAAGGATGGGGCAGGTGCCAACGAAGACACCCATCCTGACCTGTGACATAGGAGTGGGACGCCACTCCTACGTACCTGCGTATGCTTATGAGGTTGCAAGGTCATGTTATTCCGTGAACCATCGATTGAGATTGCGACGTCAGTGATTCCGTGAACCATCGATTGAGATTGCCACGTCAGTGATTCCATGAACCATCGATTGACGTTGTGATGTGAATTTCGCGATTTCCATGTCAACTTGACTCCAACTCATGTGTGTGTGTGAGTGAGTGTGTGTGCATGTGTGGGTGTGTGAGGCGAATCTGACATACCGACACCAACAAATCTCATGCACGCACGCACGCACGCACACGCACACACACACACACACACACACACACACACACACCGGAAAACAGCATGCGGATGGAATCACCTACACTCCTGAGCACTGGGCTTCGCGAAATCCGGTCTCGTTGCAGCGGAATATGACCTCCCGGCATTAAGCATCACTGCAACCAGGAGAGGTGGAGGCGTCAAGCAGACGACGCATATGCCCATGGACTCTGCATCTGCATGCCTTTGCTTCCCCGCTGCCTCACCGCCTTCTGAAGCTCGCAGCAGGAACTCGGCCGTTGGCAGCGTCCCGTTCTGCAGAGCTGCTTCAAAGAGTCGAGAGGTAGTTCCGTTTCTTGTTTCTTGTTTCGCTGTTGGGTTCGGAGCATGCTGACACGGCTCCTCCCTGTCAGATTCGTGACTAGACTCGAGTGACCAAGCCACTTGTGAGGCCTGGTAGGAGTTGTCGTCGGCATTCCTGACAGAGTGATCGTCCAATGCCCGCAGCATCTGCGCAAGGAGAATTGCTAACGAGAAGCTGCAAGAGCTCGAGCTGCCAGTGCACGTCGCTCCCATACCTTCCGGGGACACGGCGTAAGGCCCCTTGGGGGCGGCCCGTTGGGGGCCCGTGCTTCAGCTCCGCTGAGGCTGGAGCAGCTCTCCCGCCAAGCGCTTCAGCGCACGAGCCAGGCGCGCATTCTGCTTCACCTCGAAGCAGACGAGGCCACGAGGACCGGCTCTTCACTCCGAGCTCCCGGGTCCCGGCCTGCAGCTCACTTCCAAGGATCTCCTCCCCCTCGAAGCCGAACTCCTGGGGCCACGTGGCAGGCTTCGAGGACAAACACAACGACGTCGAGTACAACAAAACGTGAAGATGAAGGAGAAGACACACTGGTGCCGATGAGGGGATGGGCAAACTGGTGCTGGTGGGCGTGGCGGTGATGATATTGAGGAGGAGCATGAGGATGATAGTGACGACGATAATGATGCCGATGACGATGGGAAAGGGACCATGACGGAGATGGTGCAGTGATGATGTCGTTGCTTAGACAAGACGCTGATACGAGGCTGACACTCGCCAGTTGCATGCCCCTCCCTGTCAATCATAGTGGCTACCATAACACCGACTGCCACTATCAGAATATGGGCATGCTTACGGTAACAATGAAAACAATGATACTCAGCTGCTTTTGCATGTAATCAAACCGGCAAGACCGTCAATCAAGCCGAGGATGGCAATGATGGCGAAAACCGAGCTTGATAAGCTTCCGCATGCGACACGTGGAGCAACAATGCTGGCAGCTTTACTTGTGATAGCGGGCAATTACCGTTGGGGTATCACAGCGGTATCGGCAAGAGCAATGGCAACCACATCAACAGCAGCATCAGAGCGACCGCATCATTATCGTCACTATCATCATCATCATCATCATCATCATCATCATCATCATCATCATCATCATCCTTTCCTTTCCATTTGAGGCATCGGGTCGAAGCCATGCGGGACAGACTATGAGACCGGCACCCTTCTGGGGACCCTACCACTACTGCTGACAAACCAAGTGCACATCATGTTTGTGATGTCGTCTCAGTCTCCTCTCCCACGCGTTCGCGCGCACAATTTTGGATGACCACGTTTAGCCCACAAAAACCTGTGCATCATCATCATCACCATCATCATCACCATCATCATCATCGTCATCTTGCTTTCTGCTTTCGTGTCGTCATCGTCATCGCCATCGCCCGCCATCGCCATCGCGTCATCATGTTCATCGTCGACAGTGGCATCGTGACGACCGTCATCTTTCTCCATCAACATCACCGGCGCCACCACGAACATCGTCAAGAAGAAGAAGAAGAAGCAGCAGACTGCCGTTTTGCTCCAGCCTTTTGTTAGTCCGTGCCGTCACCTCGCTTCTGAGTTTGAGATGCACGCCGATCAAGAGGCCGGCACTCAGCCTGCAACACTGCAACAGTAGTTTGGTGGCAGTTTCCTATTCGATGTCGACGATGCAACTGTGACTTCTACGAGTATGACCACCGCCAACGAAGCAACTTGTTTCTTGCCTGACGCCAAATCACTGTTTCGCCTTCCCTCCCCTCGCCCAATCCCCCACCCATTCTAATCGACCTGCCAGTAGTTGCCGTGGTGCTTGCCCCGTTCGCGGTCTGCCAAGTCCACCTCAACAATAGCCTGGCTGTCAGCGCAAAGCAACTTTGGGACAGAAGCAGAAACCCCGAGAGCAGCAGCTAAGCAACAAATCGGCTCGTTGGTCTAGTGTCCTTTGCAAGGTCACGTCCCTGTCCCGTTGGCCTCGAAGGGCAGTGTCTCCCAGCTCAGTGCAGAGAAGCGGTGGAAGCCCAAACCGAGAGCAAGAAGCCTTGGCACAATATGAGCACGTGCACGTGAATGTCTGTCAAACAACACGGGTCTCCGGGTCTCTGTCTTAAACATGGAGGAGTTTTCCAGAACTCGGGGCCCAGCGCGAGGGCCGCCACCAGGGGCGCCTCACGGGACGGGCCACAGGCCCTGCTCAGAAGGCCCACCTCTCACTGCGAGGCATGGCTTCGGATCAGCGAGGTGGCAACGAACTAAGCGCAACCGTGCGACCATAAGCAGCACATAGATTGTGAGGCCGGTGAAGAGATGCCGCAAGCTCTTCACCCAGAAAGATCCGCCCATATCTGGCTTCTTGGTTTCCGCATAGATCAGGAGATAACCGTAGCTCAGGCTCCCGACGGTGCAATAAAGCCAAGCGAATACTAGGATGACTGGACAGCAGCTCGCGAAGACGCTGGCCACAACGATGTGCAGGGTGATCTTTGCCATGCGGGCGCCCATCCCATCGCTGTCCTGATCCTGCATAGCTTCGTATCCCAGTCGCGGCTCTCCGGGTCTCAGCCCTAGACAATAACTTTTAAAGTAAAGGGCCCGATCATCCCGGTCCTCGGGCTCGCTGGCTTTCCGTGCCTCCGAGGGGTCGTTGTCGCCCCGAGCAAATCGCGCGAGGAGGTACTTGGCCAACTGGACTAAGCGCAGGAGGTCGAAGACGTGCAGCAGGCAGCCCAACATGAGGTAGTTGATGTAGAAGTTAGAGAACCCAGGTAAGGCATCGGCAAGCAGATAGATGACCTCGCCAGGGTGTGCCAGCACCTTCGCCAAGACGTCCAGTATGGTGCCCACGATTGCCTTACGAAAAGACGTCAATCTTCGCTGTCAAGGCCTACTCCCAATCAGTTTGCTTTGTGCTGAGGGCGCAGCTGTCACCAAGAGGACGAAAACAATCTGACATGAGAGCTCACGACGAAACGACGACAGGGCAACTCAAGACCCACTTGCAAAACTAGAATGCATCCGCTCCTGAAATGAGAAGTACCAGTCCTGCCAACGCACGACTAACGACTTGGCAGACATGCGACTGAGAAAACGCAGAGACACTTTCAAGTGCAACCGCTTGTCGCTCCTGCAACTTCAGTTGTGCCCATGTCCCCGCTTTCAAAGTCAAGACGTTGCTTATGATTGCCATCAGCAGCGTGGGGAGGAATGCCATGAACATCTTCAAAGCCCCAGTGCTCAACACCTGAGCGCTTTGGCACGCCCACATCTGCACCAACCCCTCACCTTCCTGGGCATCACAGACCAACACTGCCAAGGAACCCCCTGAACCAGATGTTGGATAGCTGGGAAATCCTCGAAGAGGCGCAGCAGAATCGGCTCCACGCGATCCATGAATGTAGCAATTAACGGCGCCCAAACAATGAAAATCAGCAGGAGGAGCCCGGCCGCCGTTATGTTGCCAGAAGCCTGGAGTGGATACTTCAGCAGCTCCGGAAGCACAACCCGTGCAGCGTGCATGTAGGTACAGACACGCATACATGTATCTTACATACATGCATCTCTACCTACCTGCCTACCTGCCTACCTACATACCCACACGCCCACATACCTGCATACCTACATAAATACCTGCCAGCCTGCCAGCCTGCCAGCCTGTCTACCTGCCTCTCTGCTTACCTACCTACATACATGCACGCACGCGCCCACTGAAGGTTTGCATGTCTTGGTGCTTCCATTCGGCTTGCGAACAGAAGCTCTGCTGTACTCCTTCTCTCGGCATCTCTCAGGCAAAAGCTGTCTCTGTTCTCCTTCTCCCTCTCGCTCTGACTCTGATTCGGATAGAACCATGAAGAGATAGATGAAGCTTCTGTGTCTCTGCTAGCTGTGTGGCAGTGCGGCCTGCAGCTGGGGATCTTTGGCCAAGTCGTGGTACCTCACGTCTTCCGGATCTGGAGGCATCGCCACCGTGAGTTGCGCGGAGTCTGCGCGATACTGGGGCTGCCTTGCCAGCATGCACATCCTGAGTCACAGCTGAATGAAGAGACCCAAGGAGTGTCCGTGATGCAGCACATGAGCTCTCAAAAGCACAACTGGGTAACGTGCCGTCTAGATGTGAAGGTCACGAAACCCGCGCAGCTGCACACCTGGGGATCCATGGCCATCACCCCCTCCTCCACTGCCTGCCGTTCCTTAGCAAAGGCCTCTTGCAATGCTTCCAATTCGCGGGTGTAAAAACCAACATCGTCCCGCCGGTAGCAGCACCAGGCACTTTGCAGGCCGTGGCGACTCCCACTATCTATAGCTCCAGTAGACTCCTGGCCCTGGCCCTGCAGGTTTTGAGCACAGTGGAGGTCATAGGCGACTTTTTCCATGTCCAGAAAGAGGCGGCGGAGCCTGTCCGTGCGCCTGACGATGTAGGCCCTGGCGATGGCGTCCCGAGAGAAGAGCCGTGCAAAGTACTGGTGCAAAGCGAAATCTGACCTACACTCAACCGGCAAGTTCTCCACAAGCAAGGTGGTGGCTCTGGGCTCCGGAATTCGCTTTAGCCACTCGAAACGCCGTGTTAGGAAGCGGCACTGTGCAGCGTAGACTTCACAGGAAGCTGCAAGGACGACAAACCACACTGTAGCGGCATGCGTCCAGATGAGCAGAAGGTGATGATGCCTCTCCAAACGATCCAGGGCAAGGCCATTCATGCTCGTCATGCTGAGCAAGCTGCCTTCATTGGAGAGCCGCAGATGAAGGTAGAAGTGGAGCGGACACAGCAAACAGATGATGGCACTGCCCCACAAGGCTGCAAGCCTACCCCCGAGGCGGAGGAGTTCCAGCAACTGCAGCCCATCCAGACCACACCTTGCGACGACCTCCTCATCCTGCATGCCCCGGACAACCGAGATCCAGCCAAAGACGGCCGAGCAGACATCACCAAAGCTGCGCACCCGGTACCTTGGGGGCTCCAGCGCCGGCAGTGGCGTTGGGCTATCGTTGGCCGCTGCCACCTCCTCGGCATCTTTGCCGTAGACCGCCGGGACCAAAGCCCGAAGAGCCGTGAACGCAAGAAAAGCTGCCAGCGAGGAGGCGAAGTTGAAGCAAAAGGCCGCCTTCATGGTCGCGAAATCCCCTTCCGTGTTTTTCGCCACGCCGACGAGTCCGGAAGTGGACTGATTACCCATTGCAACCGAAAGGAAGTCCTCCACTTTTTGCAGCGTGTCGTTCTTGTCCTTGACTCCCGTGGTCGACATCGGACTTGCAGTGGATGTGGCGCCGAGGCTGGTTTGGTTCTCGCTCTCCACACGAACCCCGGGCACTCGGTGCAGCTGAAGGAGCAGCCATGTCTGAAACAGACGGCGCATCGACCGATGCTGCCACAAGCCGTTCACATGAGAGAATTTCCAGACTACAGCACAGGAGTCATACACACTCCCTTTTCCTGAAGCCGAATTGTGGAAGCCACCAAGATGCATGCGACATTTGCGTTCATGTCATGATGCCGAAATCTCTGTGGCCCAGATCCGACCAAAAGTCCCCAGGAGCTCTGCCGGCCTCACGACGAATAGCAGCCACCAAGCCCTGCAAGGGAGGTCAAAGCACCAAGGAGACGAACACACTTTAACAGTAACAGCTGCCTCGGCCCCGTCCGCAGAAACGGATGAGCTGCTGCTGGCCTCATATGGCGTCTTCATCAATCCATGCAAGAGATGTATGGAGGTCTCCACTAGAGTGCGAAAGCGCTGCTGCAAAAAGCTTGCATACATTCAGACTGGCTCAGATACTGCGTTCTCGACCTGTGCTGCCGCTGCCGCGGGTCTCGCGGCCTCCTGAGCCACCGCACTTGGAGCGACCCGAACTGAGAAGCGAAGCAGGATCGAGGACAACACAACATGCTGTCCTGGGTCTTGGACGACTGCGAACCGCTTTCCAGCCTGCATGTTTCAATGCTACGAGTACGACCGAGATCCAGGAAAAAATCCGGACGAAGAACCTTTGTCTTCTTTGCACTAGATGCGAGTATTTCATGGTCAAACCGGGTTGAATCCGACAAGCATACTTTTACCAAACCTTGGGCTGCGCACAAGGCCCATGCAAAGAGTGATCTTTTCTTGCTGGCAGCTTCACTTGCCCGGCAGTAAAGAGCTGCGAAGGCCCGCTGGACCGCTGGATGGATAAAGCTTCTCAAGCCATCCGTGGTACAGTCCAAGCCCGAGCAGAATTAGTGCAAGGCCCGCTGCAAACCACCTGGTGCAGGCACTGCATGACTGCATCGAGCTTGGCTTACGTCTTCAAAATGTCGGCCTGTCGAGAGGCTCGCCTTTTCCAAGGAGTGGAATGTCACCTTGCAGAGACGCTTCAACACGTGGCCTTGCGCTGTGTGCGGCTGCGTGCGGTGCCAAGTGGCAGGTGGCGAAAACCAGCGCGGTAGCAGGCACGGCCGCCGCAACCGAAAGCGAAACCTTTCGCATGAAGAAATTTTGGGCCAGTCAATGAGACAGAGGCCGCTGTTGCACGGCACCGTTAAGCTTAGACGCTGTGACTGCCGAGGTCGTTCGGAGCAAGATCAGCAACGTCACGTTGAAGCCCAAGTTGAGGCACAGGTATAGGCATGGCCAGAAGGGCTCTGACCTTGGGTCCCGACTCGATCTCTCTTTTCGTGCTTTCCGCTCTGAGTGGCTCTGAGGCCCGAGCCCGAAAGCCTTCGCACCCGCTTTGAGGTACTCGGCCATGGCACTGGGCGTGGCTCCCAGGCCCTGCAGTGAGGCCAGCCTCCCAAGCAACAGCCAAGCGTCAAAGGGGGCCCCCCCCCCCCCGCGGGGAAACTCCTTCGGCCGAGGAGCACTGGGAGCAGAAGGAACACCCCAACTGCCTGAGAGCAACACGAAAAAACGTAGCTGCGTACTTTCCTTGCAGCTTCAGAACAGGAGCTTGGAAGGAGGATCCCAGTGTGTTCACGATGAAGACGTTGAGCTCTTCGCCACAGATGCCCCGAGCCTCCTTAAAGAGTCCCTCCTGAGGGCACGAAGAGAACACGAAGGCTCGGCGAATGCAGATCCGTCCTTCAGCACGGAACCCAGCGCGGGCAAGGCCAGGGACACCACGAAGAGCAGAGACGGGCGCCAAGGCAAAACGTGGAAGCTGTCCGAGCCGAGCCCACCTGCTTCTCTGCTTCTTTTCTCTCACATCGACAGAATTCCCTTGGTTCTGAGCCTGCGGAGGCGAGGATCACGCCCAGTACGCAGAAAGCACATCCTGACAGATAGAGTCGAGGGTTTAGAAGAGCTCGAGCCGAGGCTGCGGCGGCTGTGGGCGGCCTGCGAGCTCCCGCCAACTGTATCTACCTGCCAGGAATCGTGTTTCGGGCGATACCAGTCCAGTCACATGTAGCCAAGGTGCGCCCAAGCAGCGTGGAAGAGAAAGTCATCTGAAACACCTGTGCAGCAGGGACTCTCTGCCCAAGTTGGTCCGTTCCGCCCGCAAACCACCCTGGCATCGGCATGAGGGCCGCGCCAAGTAAAGCTGGCCCAGCACGGGCAGAATGGACCCTGTCCAGCTGACATTCGCTGCGGTGACGGGCTTGGGCCCGACCCCAAGCAGAAGTGCCTGGCAGGGCCTTGGCCCCCAGCATTCCCAGAAGGAACGATCCAGCTTCCAAGGAGCCTGTTCTGGAACATTGAGATCTTTTTGAATTTTAGGTCCCTCTGTGGCCACACAATTGTTCTGTGCCCTTCCGGACAACCGCTTCATGTGCATGTGACACGTGTTCCACGCCCGGACGCCTATTCGCGCAAACGTCAGCCAGCGCTGCCGCGCAAACGTCACCTGCTGCTCCGTGACGTGGCCTCGAGACGAGACGAGACTCGAGAGAGACTCGCGAAGAGACGGGATCTGGGCTCCAGCAACGCAGTGCGTTTTTTGTGTGTTTGTTGCGCTTCTTGCGGCCAGTGCTACCCTGGGCCCTGTTGAAGATCAGGGCCATCCAGTAGGCGAGGACGTAACCTGAGCGTCGGCAGCGTTCACAGCTGAGAAGTTTCCTCTTCGCTTTGACGCTTCGGAGCCGAAGGTGGTGAACTGTGCCAGGAAGAAGACGTAGTTTCCAAGAGGCACAAGGGCTACCTTGTACATGACTCGGTTGGCCTCGGGAAGACGTGTCAGGAAACTCGAAGCCACCTGCTGCTACGAGTATCTGGGATGCAGACAGTAGCCAGGGCTACAGTAGCAATGGACAGCAGGGCGGCAAAACCAATCGGAAGCCTGCATGTTGGAAGCGCGTCTGAAAGAAGCTCTCTATGGGGGTCTTTTTGTGTCACAGATGCTCAGGGCCGAGAGTTCCAATCGGACACGCTGATCGAACTCTCCCCCCTGATCTGTGTGATGCCTTTCTGCCAGGGCGGCGTCCGGCTTGCGACCAGCCCCTTCCAAGCGAGATCAAAAAAAAGCTTCCAACAGACTTCCCTCCCTCCCTCCCTCCCTGCATGTCAAATTAAAACATTCCTCGACATCGACGCTGCGCGGCCGCCGCAACGAGCACCGCACCGCAGGCGGCGAAGTCTGAGGCGACCGCTCAGCGCGAGAGGCGAGAGCCAATGTGGAGCCGTTGGGTCCGGAGTGCTGCCGAGAGACATCGCCAGGTAGAAGGCGAATCCGAGAGATCCTCCGCCGATGCGGAGAACGTCTTCACGGCCATGGCGTGGAGACAAAATCAACAACACAGAGGTCGCTTGAGCACATGGGTCTGAGTCTAAGGCTCTTCCGATGCTGCCAGGGTCATGGGTAGTTATAAGTAGGGTCTCTATAGCGGCTAGCTCACGAGGAGTCTCACCGATGCTACAGTGGGCGGCGTAGCGTTAACATTAAGACACTTGACCATGGGGGCCATGTTCTAGGTGTGACAACAGAAACTTCAGGAAGGTTTGCTGATCCATGTGCTTCGCATGAGATTTTGGGTTTGTCCTGGTACATGGCAGCTGGAGGCCAGCACACAGATATGCCTTCGGTAGCCTGCGGTAACATTCGACTCCACCGAATCAGACGAGTCATTACCACCAAACCCACGGAGCTGCAATTTGCACTGCGTATGAGGGAATGATGAACCATACCCTATGAATTTTGGTCTCCCCCTGTGCTCCGTGGCTTACCCGTCACACCTTGTAGTAGAAGGCTGCGTGCGTGTGGTGGTGGCAGAACGGCCGGTAAACGTCGCCGCAGCCTGGCAGGACCAAACTGGTTGCATCCCCTCAAAACACGCAGCCACGTCCTCCTTCATGGTGCGTGTGGCCGTGGCCAGGCGCTCGGCGGCGCGGCGCAGGAGAAAGGGCGCCTCGCGAGGCGAAGAGGCGAAGAGGCAAAGCGCCCCTCTGGGAATCTTCAATCGGAAAATGTCAGCCTTCACGGCACCAAGAAGTGCCGCCCGGTCTGCCAGGAGTGGCGCGGCCTTGGAGACAAGCTGGGCAGGGCTTTTGGGTAGTCCGGGAGCCCATCCGCAGGAGCCCGCCTCCGCGAATCGATGAAGGTCGGCTTCCGTCGAAAGCGGTTCCAGCACCGCTCGCAAAACCTGTGTCGCGTCGAGAATGCCACGAATGTGCTATAAGGCCCAAGGACCGGAACAGACACGCAACTTTGCACCAGCGGCGCCTCCGTGTTTTCTCGAAAGGGCCTCCATTGGCCAAGACTAAACAATGCCCTGAAGCTTTCTCCATGACCGTGGTGCGAGCATATGTGGAACCTTGGAAGCTGCTGCATCAGCTGCGCCATCAACGTGGCATAAGCCTCACTGGCATCACACAGACACAGACACCCCATCCTCAAGCAGCTTGGGGTAGGCGGGCAGCTAAGAAGCAGCCGCCGTTTTTTTCTTTATTCTTGTTCCAGCCTGTAACTCGGAAATCCCCTTGCGCTTCGCCCTTGCGCGCTCTTGCGCACACACGGTTTTAAACACATTCCCACTTTGAGAACTTTATAAGCCAAGTGAGCGCTACTTATCGCCCTTGCGCTCGCCCTTGCACTCGCCCTTGCGCCAGCTTGCGCCGTGCGCGTTCTGCAGCAGGTCCTAAACCTGCATCGAAACATTATATTGCACTGTTGGTCTACTTTCAAGAGTGGCGGGTTCAGAAAAACTCTCTTGGATTACACCCCCCTGCTCCAAATCATTCCAAATCTACATCCACCTTTCAACTTCTCACTGCAGTTGCTTGCAGAGCATTCCAAAATGTCATCACAAGTTACCTTCTACGGCCGTAGAAGACAATGCATAACATCAACATGCTAACCCACCTTTGCACACTGTTTTCGTTTATTCTGAAGCAGTGGCAAGCGCAAGAAGCACAACAAGGCGGTCTAGGAGAAGTCTGGAGGTTTGGACGGGAACTGAGGGCATGCCTGGGAAGTATCGAGGGTGATCGGAAGTGAAAGGTCAGGATTGACGAGTCTGCAATCAAGACCCTATCAACCACGTTTCAAGTTCCGTTTTTTGGGCGCCCCCCCACCGAACTGACACAAAACCCGGTCGAATGCAAAGCAACCGTGGCTCAAGTTCGGGGAAGCTTCCCACAGAGCTTAAACCATGTCGGGTTGATGTGTGCGAGGGAGTGCTTGATGGACCGGTTCGACGGGGCCCCGCCTCGCCCAAGGAAGCTGCCGCCTGGCGGAGCCCAGGTTGCAGCGCCTGAGCGGACTGAGAATGCATGGGAGCACGCTTGCACTCAGAGCTCTCTCGAGAGGACACTCGAGGAGCCACCTGCAAAGGACCGGATCGCAGCCCGCCACAGCTGTGCACCAAAGCGAGCATGGCCTGCGCAAACACCCGGATCTGCCCCGTTCAAACCCACGCGAGCAGGCTACCGCTACCGGTGGCACAAGCCGCATCAAGCCGCATGACGAAGAGTTGCAGGGGCCTCTGCTGCTTTTCTGGAATCTTGCGCTTCCAATGCAGCGCTGAAAGCCTTGCACGCCGCTTCAGATTCTACAAGTCTTCAGATCCTGCACGACAGTGCCCATCCTCCGCAGTTCCGGATGCGGCATCCATCTTGATGAAGTCGCTTTCGACTTCGAAGGCAAAGATTCCCAGCCCAGGCCTTTCTTGACGGCTGCATGATGGGTGCTTGTACCCCCCAGTCAAAAGAAGCCTGTCCCTCTGCGAAAACGCCGCACTGCTTACGGTTTTTAGTGATGCCGAGGCCAACACGCTTCCCGGTGCAGGAATTCTCGCAAGCTGCCGACCCTGACAACAAGCATCTTTTGGCTACAGCGGGACGGCATGCAACTGTAGGCAGAGGTGCCGGCTGGGCTGCAAAGACCTCCTCCCAAGCAAGCCACTCCCCCAAAGCCACCAGCGCCGGAGCTGCCTTGGAGATCGGCAGTGGGCAGTGGGCAGTTGGCAGTCGCTTCCCGCCTGGATCAACCGCCCAGCTGCCTGCCGTGAGCCAACGCAACATCAAAGCTCCTGCTCGAGGCCGAAGGCCTTCTCCCAGCCCTCTTCGGATAAGGCCACCAGCGCCTTTGCTGCCTGCGGTCGTCTCGTCACAGTCGCCGAACAGCAAACACAACTTTCCGTCCTCCTTTGTGGCAACTGCTGACCCAAAGGCTGCCGCAGCTGCGCAGCGTAAGGCGCGGTGAGCTGGTGCTGCCTGGGAGGATGCCGCGATAACGCAGTGAACTGAGAAGCATTCCAGCCTCCTCCGGTGCATCTGCCACTGCTTTGGCAGCTGCTGCCGCCCAGTCTCTTTCCTGCTCTCTGCTGCTGAAGCAGTCTGGTATGTTTCAGAGTCAAACGCGATGGGTCGGGAAGTGCATTGACGGGTCACGAGCTTCAGTGCGTGGTCTCCCTCTCTGCTTGTGACAGAGTCTAAAACCGATCCCAGTCCACGCGAACCTCACCCACAGCTCCGAAGCGACGGAAGAGAAGAAGCCGCAAGGCGTCCTGCTCCAATGTCAGTCACCGGAAGGTGCCAGAATCAGAATCAGGTTCAGATGTGATCGCTTCAATGCTGGCTCCACCCAGGCACCAACAAGCCCAAGTCCTCGGCCTCTTCCTGTGGCCTCGGTTGTGCCGCAGCATGAGCTCGTGAATCCCGGAGAAGGGGTCCGACGTGACAGGACCAATCAGAAGAATCGATCTAAGACTTGCTGATGAGAGGCAGGGCATCTTGTCCCCCCAGTTCCTGCAGCAGCTGTGATGCCTGCAACAGCGGGCTTCTGTGCCCGAGTTCTTAGGGGAAATTGGGACTCAGAGGACATGCCCACCATCGCGCAGGAATCTCGAGATCTGGACCGCAGTAGCTACATTGCCAAACAACTTGGGCACTGTGCTCTCTTCCTGCATCCGACTCCTTCGATGATTCTGAGGGTGATAGTCGTGCAATTTGCCAGGGGCCACGCACCCGTGCGGCACCGAATGCAATGATAAGCCCGGTCTCGCTGCGTGTGCTGCATAGTATGCACTCCCAAGATCCGTATGCCGTGAATCATATCGCAGTTTCTCGAACCGCAAAACAGTTTGTTCTTCAGACATAGACTATCGTGGCGCTCTTGAAACCAGCATGGCAATAGTCATTCCGCTTCCAGGATCGCCACTGAGGACTCCTGGATGCTATGATCTGCAATGCGGAAAGCTTGGGCATTGATATAACTGCACGGCTCATGGTAGACACATAGTTGAGTGGAAACCCAAGCAGAATAAGCTGAGCCGTCTGTGGGACACTTCGCTCGCCCTCATGCTTTTGTAGGAAACGAGCGGTAGCGTGCTTCATGCTCTCTTATCTGCTTACGCTTCACTTTGTAATGGGACACAAGCAAGAAAAACGATCGAACTGAACCAAAGCAGAATCTGAAGTGACTTCTTAAGCTCACAAGCTTTTGTAACATCCAAAAGGGCCACGCTACTTGATAAGAAGTGCAGACTCGCGTGTGCCTTTCTTTATTTGAGTCACATGCTGCGGAACGAAGGGAAACCAGAATCATAATACGATACGATTGCTCCCTATCATAATTCCTGGCGAACTGCTCTGTAGCTTACTTCAAATTTGACTGTGGAAGCAGAACAAGGCACTCTCCTCCGTGTTACTTCGACGGTAGGATGTCCTCATGTTGCCCCAGGATTACAGCAAAGCGATTTACGAAAATGCTATCACTGACTTCTGTGTCTGCATGTGGCTTACATCCTCGCCGACATCGAAGTACGAGAAGGACCCACTTTGCAGACAAAACCGTCACTCCTCTGTACTAACAGGCACACACGCAGTCGAGGCTCGCTTTTTCTCGCCTCGACCTGCACGACTGTGGTGGCGTTCTGTCTGCGAACGAGCGGGTTGGAGCAACAGAACCGTTTTCAACGGCGTGCTCGAACAAACCGCTGCTCGGACTGGTAAGTCGTCAGGGCGGGTGAGGCGGGAAAACTGAAAAAGCTTTGCCGCACCGGCCAGACTCGAGAGGTAACATCGTCGAACGGGTTTTGTCACTAGATGCACACGTGCACTACCAAACGAAGCAAAGGCACATTCAAGGTCTCTAGGGCAACTTGAAGACGCACGAACCGAGCAGGAAGGATGGCATGGCGCATACGTGCATACCTTGTGCTAACAGGTGCAGGATAATATTGGACAAAATTCATCCAGTTAAACCTGCGCGTGACGGTGTGTGCTTCCCAAGGCGTGCCTCGCGCTCCACCATGGCACCCACAACACCGTCGGCAGCGCCTGCGATCGCGCGCACATCAAGTGTCGAAAGCTTTCGGTAGCAAGCAGCTTGGGCCTCCGAAGAGATTCGTGGGGTGCTTCACACAGCCATAAGCCACTCTGTGGGTCGATTCGCTGCTCTGTCAACGTGCAGGCTGAACGCGTGCATACTGCCATACTCATGGAAAATGTCAGTACATATGTTTGGGTATGTAGGTGTATACATGCATACATACATACGTACATACATACATACACGTATCTATATGTACATGTGTGTGTATATATATATATGTATATATTATCTGTATGTTGCATCTGAACTTGGTGCCCTGCTGTGTCAAGTACATGTGTGCTTGCGCACATACATGTTGGCTGAATTTCGTAGTGCATCTAGCTGCATGCGTCTGCTTGCTTCATGTATTTATTCGGCTGGATGTTGGCCACAAAACCTCTCCGGCCTCCATCCCCGGATCCAAATCGAAGGTCTTTGGGAGCCTGGACTCGCCGAGCCCAAACCCCCCCCCCCCCTGCAGCTCCCAGCCCCCAGCCCTTAGCGGGCTTCGTTTACATGGCCTCGGTCCAGTCGGAGATCATCTCGGCCTTGGCTCCGCCGGGAAAAAGGAACGAAACGCTCTTCGCTTCGCTTCGCTTCGCTTCGCCGCCGAGTCTCTGACGAAGCTTCGGTAGCAGTCCTTGTCCTTGTCCTTGGAGGCGTCCTCGACCGGCCGACTGCCACCAGGGCTGTGCTCGCCTCGAAGTCCCTTCGCCTTGGGAACCTGCAGCTGCGAGAAGGAGCTGACCTGGCAGTCGCTGCACTGGTCTGAGAGTCCATTTCGCAAGTAACAGATGGCTTCACCACTTAGACATGAAGCCGAACCACCTGCAACGGCACCATCAATCATGTGTAGAAGACACGAAGCGTAGACGAGGTGACAAGCTGGGAAGCTTGAGTTGCGCATACACAGGCATCTCACTGTTGTCTAAGTGATTCCACCCCGGGCCCCGCACACCATAACGTCGTAACAATGTCTCCCTGGGCCGGAAGCAAGTTAAGCAGAAGCGAGTCTATCGGCACCGGGACACACAAGCTGAGCTTCCGAGCTCTATGCACCAGAGTCGTTCTGCAGCGCAGCTCGTGCTTGCCGGAGTGACCTGAACGATTTCGATAGCCTGTATCAAACATCGAGAGGACTTGAAATCAGCCTCCAATGCTGCAGCAACGGCAGCCAAGCGGACTTCGGCGAGAGTGCGGCTTGACGACTTGCCTCAAGAACCGCCCATCGCCACCCCCTGCTGTGCAATGAAGTTTGAAGGTACCTGGGCCCTCTTTGCCGTCAGCTGCCTGCGACCAGATTTAGGAAAGGGGCAAGTGTCAGGAATGGGTTCAGATGCGCGATCAATGTGGCTGCTCGAAAACGATTCTTGCACAACTGCCCACCCCTTTCACAAGGCTACGCGTTTTCTTTTGCCACTCGTGCAGTTGCGTCATGGAATACAAGCGAAACTCTTTGCTATTGCAAGGCGTAACATGAACCTGCACTTGAAGCCAAGCTTGCTGTGATGCGTTCACTGCTTGATGCAAACCTGCCGTTTCTTGGCCATAAAGGTCAATGGTGCCGTGGGTTTCAAGCGCCTCACAACTGTTCTCCAGCTCGGCCCAAGCCGGCTCTTTCCTGCCTAGTCTTCCCGATCATCGCAGATGCACTCAACCACGTCACCATCACCACCATGGTCATCAGAATTAACATCACCATCATGATTCCCATACTAATTAACAGTAACATCACGGTCGCCGACAGCATCAACAACATCCTCATCATATCTGATCATCAAAGGCAATCCTTGAGACATCATCATCATCATCACAATCAACCATCAATTGTTGAACCGCAGTTGAATCAACATCGCCGGCAGCAGCACAATCATTCATCACAATGGGCATCAACGAACCCATCTGCAACAGCCAGCATCGTTGATCAATAAGACAAACGACGACAACGACGACCGACAACCCACGACTGACGGCCGACGACTGACGACCCACGACGACAACCACAACCACAACCACATCCACAACCACAGCCACAACAACAACAAGCAACAGGAGCAATAGCAACAGCAACAATAACAGCAACAGCAACAGCGTTTCATTCACACGCAGCGGGAGAGTGGCGTCCTTGGTGACACTGAGTCCCTCGCTTGGCGAGTGTTCGACCTATTAGCTCTACAGATTGTGCTGGGCACGGTGATGCGAAGCTCACCCGCGCTGCAGGCCGTGCCGGAGCGCTGCACCCGCATGCGTTCCGCCTCTCAAGGCTGCAAACTACGCAGGGTAGCTATCAGCCAAGGAGTATAAGCTGCTTCGGCGTTTCGTGCGACATCTTTTTCCGGCAACCGTTGCCCTTGTGACTCGGGAACGAGAGAGCTTATGAGCCGGGATTACTTGACTGATTGTCAAGATGGCTGTCACTGGTGAAATACTGGAGCTTCCCCCACCGAGACTGATCCTCGAAGGGGCGTGTTGGTTCCACTGACCGCATCTCTGGGGGCCTGCCATGCGGAGTGGCTCCAGCGTCGCCTGCCACAAATACGTGAGAAACCCATAAGAGTCAAGATGATGTGACTGGTCCAGAACTGGCATTTTGCTTCCACTGAGAGGTCGGCGCTGTTGCAAGCTACTTGAACTTTTTAACCCCGGAAACTCCTGTCGGGAGTGGCTCCGCCGTCGCTGGCCAATGCTCACTCCGCCGTCCGAAGACGGTTGTAGGTCAGGTCCCGTTGGGATGACGCGAGATTGAGGAGCCTGTCTTCCGAGTAGAAGAGCGCACGAAGGACATCGAGCCCCGCCAAAAAATTGGTACGAGGCGGTTCCCCCAAGTACCTGCAGACAGAGGAGACCTGGAAGGTCTCGCGCTCGAACTGTTCAAGATCCATCCTATGCATGGCCAACGATTCAGGAGAGAGCAGGGTGCTCGTGGAAAGGCGACCTGCAGCCAGATACGCCAGTGCCAATTCCAGAATCGCTCGGCGGCGGCGGCGTATTTGCTCCCACTCCGAAATCCCCTGTATCACCTCCAAGTGACGGAAGACCTCCCGCATCTTCTCCGCGGGGAGCAACCCGCCGCGAGGCTCAGCACTTGGTCTTTTGTACCAGGGCCAGCTGCTTGATGCGGCCCTCAAGATCCTTCATCACGTCGCCGGGGAGTACCTCCATTCCGAGCGACTTCTGGCGCTCGTAGAGCATTGGCTGCTATGGCTGGCAGTAAGACCTGTGCCAGGAAGAGGCTCTGTCGTACGGCATGTTGGCCCCAGGATGATGCTAAGCGTAGGCTGGAGTGCTTAAAGAGCCAAAATGCTCCGACGCCACGCGACTCAGGTGTGCTGAGTGAGAGCGATCATGTGCCGACTTAATGCAAGGCTGACGGGCTGGAGCGCCTCCGAGCAGGAGACGGCTGTGCCTCATTTACAAACTGATGACTGTCTCTTGCAAGAGGGGGCAGCGCAGCCTTCTCGCGAGGCAAAGCCGTTAGAGGCCTACTAGTCCTTCAGGACATGAGGTCTCGAATTTGCTTCACCAGTGGGGACGGTTGTGTGCCCTGCCTCTGGAAATCGCAACGGAGCAAAGAGAATGCTGAGCTTCCGTATACTAGAGACTGAAGCGTTTCGATCAGCTCCGAGGTGCAGCTGGATCCTGACAGGGCCGCCCGTCATGTGCTCTGAGAGAGGGCGGGACGACCTGAACATCTTGACGTGTTCCGAGTCCGAGGTATAGGCCTGAGACGACCTGGGCAGTAAATAGGGGCAAATAGAGGCTCCTCGAGAGTCTCGGTGGTTGTCTGGTCTGCTGCTGACCATTCATGGAATGGCCATTCGCCGGCCTCGTTGAGGTAGCCATCGGCCTGAAGCTTATCCTGGATGGCTTTATCTTTGCTGGCCAACACGAGCCGATCTTTGGGCTCGCGGAAGAACTTGATTGTCATGGCGATCCTTGGCGGCGTTGACGACATGCTGCTGCGTAGCCGTCTATTCTCTGCAAACAGTTGAGGCAAGACTGCGTGGTCCTCCGTGCGAGCGTAGGGGATAAAGGTGACATCGGATGTTAGCGCCGGGATCTGTTCATCATGCCGAATGATCAGTCTGGTCATCGCATTCACTAGATCAGACGTGTCAGCCGTGGGTTGATTCTGCCATCCATCGTTGCCTGTGCTACCTTGGGGAGCACCTCTGCCACCTTTGCCTCCGCCGCGCCTCCTCCTCCGCCTGCTCCTTGTCCCCCTCCTCCTGTTCTGCCACGGTTTCGGGTGAATGGAGCGCCTCCACCTCTCTGCCTCTTTGAAGGAAAATCTCCGCTCGGGCTCATGGCTTCACCTCTCTTGGGAGGGGAGCTCTCGTCAGGCCGTTTTCTGAAATAGCTCCTGGAGCGACATCGGGTGTGTTCGCGTCTACACGAGTTAGCTCCCCTTCGCTGGCTCCCTGTCGCTCGAGACAGAGCATGCAGCAATTTTCTTGAACGGTGCGATCATGCAAGGAGCACGAGGAGGGTGAAGCTGCATCATCTCCCATGTACCAGAGATCCCCGCTTCAAACCATGGCCCTAAAATGACCCGAGGTGACCTCCTGCCCGATATGAAGGATCACCGCCTTTAGAGAACAGGTGATCATGGTGACTTCTGCAGTGTGATCAAGGAAGAAGTGAGGTCTAAGGAGGTGTCTAGAGCGGTGGGGAGTGGTCTTTTGAGCGCTCAGTAAAGCGTGGCAGTGCCAAACAGACGCAAGGTATCATATGTTGAGCTTCCGGATGCACGTTGGAGCCTTATAAATTGGGGAAGTACCCTCCTCATCTACTATGATCTCATCCGGGACTGGTGGAAGGTTCATATATGGTGTTTGCACTGGCGCCCGGGTCGGTCGCACCTACCCAAACCCTACCCCAAATCGCGATGAGGTTAGGGCAAATATAGGCCATTTGTAGGGTAAGCACAATTTCCGGCACGAGGTTCTGGGTTTGGAGGTCAACAACAACAATATGAGTTCATCTCATAGTTGCACATGTTCCAAAGTTCCAAAACTCTCTATTTCCGGGCTTTTCTTTACATATCAACATAAGCACCGGCGGGCCGATGAATAGGAGGCGATCACTCTCACTTGAGACTCAACTGATAGTTATAGCCCAGAACCTCATTTTCACTGGCAGTGCATGTGTCTTTCGGTGCAGATGTACCAAATTGATGGAAATTGCGGATCGTTTATTTCAGAAAACGTTCATAAAGATCCGCATCAGAAACTCTGCTGCGTCGTGCTGAAGACCATCAAAGTGCCAGCCTGTGGTGATCTCAGTGACGTATGCTCCGGTGCGATGCGTGCTAGCTTACGAACTCTGTTGGCTTGCTCGAAGCTGCTTTCTCTCAGGGTCTGTGAGATCCAGTGGAGGCATTGAAGAAAGGAGTTGGCATAGCAATGATTCCTAGTGTTGGCCGGGAGTAAAAAGCCTTCAAGCTTTAATGTCGGGGCCTAGCTGTGGAGAAGGGGAGACGGTAGAGGTGCTACTGGAACGAGGCTTGGACAGCTTACTGGGTGCATAGTCTCTAGGCTGTTTGCTGAGCTGCTGCCTTGAGACCTCTTGGAGAACGTGGGCCTGCAGTAAGGGAACACATTGCTGCGTGTGCCTGCCTGGAGCGTCAATCAGTACCGACAGTTATCCCTTTTATGAAAGAAGACCTTGAACTGCTGAAGGCGCTGCGGAAGGACTTTCTCAAGCTGACGACCTCCGGGCGCTGACGATTTAAATGCTGCGTTGCACCTTTCTGCGCCGCCAAAAGTTGCCCGCACAGGATACAGTGATACAGCTTTCCATGAAATGAGAATGATAGGAAGGGTTACGGGCTGCGGCTTCAGGATTTTTGGTAGATTCATCCTGAATCTGAGCTGAGATGTTTTCTTAGCTTTGAAGTTCCGCTAAGAGTTCTTCTTGCTTGCGATGTAGAAAGTTCCACATGCGGGCACGTGGAGGTCTCAACGTGCTTGCGAAGGTAAAAGAAAGACCGGAATGAAGTCCGACATGCACTGCACGTGGCCGAGCCGGCCATTGAGTGAAGGAGTGGGTCAAACGGTCAAACTTGGGGCCCTTGAGGCGAAGCACCGACTCAGGATGCGACCGCGTCTGGTGTCGACGTGGTGCTCCAGTTCCTGCAGGTCACAAGCTTGTCAGCTGCAATTGAGAAGGAAGACTCTGGCGGGGAGAGAGAAGAGAATGACTCTGCTCGGGCTTCCGTGCGGGGTTGGTACAGGGGCGTTAGTGTGATGTCGGCCTTTTGCTGACGCTTGATAAACTGTGAAAGCCGC